TCTTCACATCAACTCTAAAGGATTCGATCTTCCTAACCTTTTTATAAATGGTAATTTAATCAGTAGAGTCTCACACATCTCCGATCTTGGAATAATCATGGATGAAAATCTCGATTTCGATCTTCATTGCAGAACCATAGTAAAGAAATCCTCAAGGATACTAAATTTTATTTTTCGTTCGTTTAAGAACAAAACTGAAAGTTTTCTTATCAAACTATACAAAGCATTCGTTCGGCCTCTTCTTGACTACAATACTATATGTTACTCCCCTAGACATCGCAAAACAGGTAAAATAATCGAAGGACTCCAAAAATATTTTCTAAGACGCCTCTCTCCTAATAAAAATTATAATTTTAATTATAAAAGAACACTTCTACAACATAACATGGATTCTCTCTCAGTTCGTAGAATTAAACAAGATTTAATTTAAACATATAAGATTCTGTATGGTTATGTTAAACTAGATTGCTCGAAATATTATAACTTTAGACTAAATTTGAATCCAACAAGAACTAATGGCTTAAAATTACTAAAACCTATATGCAGAACTAAACTAAGGACTCATGACTTCTTTATTCGTACTATTAACTACTGGAACAAATTACCGAACGATGTAGCTTGTGCGTCATCCTTAGCTGTCTTAAAAAAAAGACTAGATAATATCATTTACGATATTGTTTAAAAACAAAAAAAAAGAAGACATCAGGCAAGAACTGCAGGAAGTGAGAAATCTCGATTTTATCTTCAGGTTATATATGTTACTTCGAATTGTACTATATTATATTGATCTGTAATTTCCTCTTTAAATTGTTAATTTTTGTCATATTGTTTTATAATTAATTTTGTTTATGTTATATATTTTTTTTTGTGTTTACTTTTTCTGTTATCTTAATTGTTATTATTAATACAAGCACATGGCGTTGTCGCTCTGCTTGGCTGGTTATCAATAAATAAATAAATAATTTACTTTACATTTGATGACACTAACACCACTTGAACGTAGAATTTTTTGCACCTCTTTATTAAGAATACTAAAATCAACTGGCTCACCAGTATCAACATTGTTTACAACACGCTGGAAAAAATAAAATAATTTTAAAATCTGAGAAAATCGAAAGAGAAATCAAAATTAAATTTTTTTGACTTGTTATAAGAATTAATAAAATCTAATTTTCTATTTGCATTTCATATGCATTTCATAAATGCAAAAAAAATGAAATTTAATAAACTGACCGTTTCACGCGGTAAAAAAAAAATCTGTCGCCAAATATTTTTTACAACAATGCAACAGCTTTTTGAAATAGCTTTATCGTAAATGCGACCAAATAAATATACCATTCCTAAACCATTTTTTACATTGCTAAAATTAGCAAACAGTTGCTAATTTCAATAACAAATCAAAAATAAATATTTATTCTATTAGCCCACTAAAATTTAAAATTTAAAAATCGGAATTTTTAAACAGAAATAAAATGTAAAGGAAAAAGAAATGAAAAACAAATGCCTGGATTTTTTGAAGTATCTTCGAATGTATCCAACCAATAAAAACGCAAGACTGTTTTATCATTGGAATTTTCATTAAAAGGGCCTTCAGCTCCAACTTCCACTTCTAGGATATCATTATCGTCATCAGGAACAAAAATACTGCAAATTCTGCAAATTACTGTAAGTCCGACATAATCAAAATCTATTAAAAATTCTTAATAATACAATACACTATTGAGAATACAATAATCGAACGGAATTGGTTTAAGTAACCACCAAAAACAGTAAAAATATTTCTAGTTTAGAATAGCTCGAGAAAAATTTTAACTAAAAGCTCGGATATTTTCAAATCTGATCAATTGTATAACACCACAAGTTTGTGGCAATAATCGTAGTAATCAGTTTGATGGTATTTTTAGAAATGCATTTCAAGAATATTGACCCACACGAAATTTTAGTAATAACGATTGACTGATCCAATTAATTAATAACAATTAATGCAATAATTAATAACATACGATCCGTGATTTGTTTCAGAATCTCCAGTAACAGTTTTCAAATCATATTTTACGTTCTTATCTAAGGGATGGTGGATTCTTGCCTCAATAAATAAATCTCTGCTATGCAATGACAAACTGTTTTTTCCGTCTGATTGAGCCGAATTATTATCATCCTAAAAAAATGAAAATAATTTTAAACAAAAAATGCCTTCGGACAATTAAAGAAAAGGTTGAAAGTCAAAATAGGCTATCTTAAAAGTTTTTGTCTCTTTATCTCTTGTCTCTTCATAAGACCAAAATTTTAAAAACGATATGAAAAACGATATTTTAAATCGAAAGAACCATTACAATTAGCACACTTTACCCAACATGGTATTTACTCCATTTGCATAAAGTTTCCAGTTTCTGGAATCAACAAACTGCTGGAAAATGGCTTCAAAATCCTCCTGTTTTTGAATTCGTTTCTCCTCAAAGAAGTTGCAAATGAAGAAGAAATAATCTGCTGGCGAAAGACCTACACTGAAGATAAGAGAACTTCGATACCCAATTCAAAATGGTGTATGGTTTAGCTTCATCATGGATAATGCTGGTATCTTTTTTGTTGGTCAATGCCGACTGTCGTGTTGTTATTTCTGGTAGATTATTTCCATTTCTTCACTGTATTCTATTCACTTTATTCTAATCACCGCATCTAGTTCTAAGAATCAGTAGTGATCAATCCTGCACCAGATCACCAAACGAACCAAACAGTTGTCAAATAAAACTCGGGTCTTGGCATAGGTTGAGGGGTTCTACGTTTCTACGTACAACTATTTTGTCGATCTTTTTCTTTTTTTCTATAGCCGTATAGAATTCATCATCGCAAACATCGCAAACATCGCAAATCGCTTTCATCGCAAACAAAAATCTATCCCAGAAAAAGATCATTTTTTTATTTTATGTCTTATTAATAGCTTCCTCCAAGATTCATCTCCAGAACTTGTCCTCAACGTGAGGTATTTTCAAGATTCTCCAAGACTTCGCTAACCAATCTTATGCGCATCGTTATTTGTATATTGCGAGCTATTTCTGTTACTCGGTGCTTTACTTTAAATGCTCATGAAGTATCAAAATTCGAAAATTGCTAAATATGAAGTTTGGCCACCAAAAAAATTTAAATCATATACCGCTTTTGAAAATGAAAAAAACTAGAAATTTTGCATATCAACGTGGCATGAATATGCAGCAATTCCAAATCCAGAAAAAAAAAACAACATGAACTTTTAGGATAGCCTAATAAAGCTAAATCAAAATTCGCTTTTTCAAAAAAAAAATGAAGTGAATCTAATAGGATTGAGTTTGTCCAATTTGCGAAAGTCATTCTAAAAAAAAAAAAAACAAAACCAAAATTATATTATTATGTTCGCTATTCACACAAAAATTTTCTTTTTGTCCATATTTTCTTCCGAATTCAAGAGCTTCTGAATTAACAATTGCTTTTTTATCGTCAAGCATTTTATCTGGTGAACTAATTTTTGCAATTTTAACAGGAGTTGGCGAGATATCTTCTGATGGCCTCGAAAGTTCACGTTTGAATGGATTGCTAAAATGTTTGAATATTAACAATATGAATAAAAAAAATCCAGTATCAAAAAATAACCTATCATGAAAAACCTTGCGAGAAGCACGCAAATTATTTTCTCTGATATATGTTCTGTGCACAGTGAAATGAATCCAGTAGCTTAAACAGCGTCTAAAAAGCTGGATTTTCATTCGAACTTATCGATCAACATACAGCCTACTAAGAACTACTGAAAACAGGAAAAAAAACTTAAGTTTATTTGTACGAACTACAAAAAATGCCAAAATATCATAAAACCATACCGTAAATATGGATTGGATGACTGGACTCCACATTCTTCTGGGTCAAATTCTAACTGATTATCAAAAAACTGGTTCAACATCGAAACCATTTCAGGATCATTTCGAAGGGATATAGAATTCTAGAAAGTTAATTCTGGTAAACATTTAATCCTTAAACGAAATTCGTCAAGCTCGAAAACCACGAAGTTAAGGTTAAACATATGGATACCTCATCTTTGATATTTTTTGGTGCTACATCGGAAAAATAGCTGCGAATTGAATTCTTTTTGTGCCTTTCTGCAAAAAAAAGTCGATAAAAATTTTCATTCCACCTCAGCAATTCTCTTAAATCTTCCTCCTCGAAAGATAACATAGAATTAAGCCCTATTAATAATAAAAAGCAATTTATAGCAAATCCAAGTTTTTTAGTAAGCTGAATTCAAATCAAAAATTTTTCACCAACACTTTTAAAATATATTAAAAAATAAAGATTGAAGAATTTGAAAAATTTACCCTCTTTTTGCTTTAAAGGAACATCGTCCAAATACTCATTCTCAGATGAAAAATCATCGCCATCATCTATATAACCGTTTCCGTCTAAATTTTTTTTTCATTTTAACTAAGAAGAATTCGCTTTATTTCAGTAAAAAGATGAAAAAATGTTAATAATGAAAATAAACTTCAATAATATATGTGACAATATATTTTAAAAACCATTCGATTTTTCTCTCTTTTTAAATTGAATTATTTAAATTTTCATAAATTTTTGAAAAAATGTGATAAAAATATAAAAATTAGGAAAACATAAATAGAATTAAAGTGAAAATATAAAATAATAAAAAAAATCACAAAATAAACTTTAAAAGAATAACCATCATCAACAACGAAACAATCATTTTGGCGTTGTCGTTTAATATTCAAATATTCGCGCTCATCGACTTCTTCATAAACAGGTTTTATTAAAGAATCCACCTGCAAAAGAATTTATACAGCAATTCGGTAAATTCAGTATGCTTTTTCATGTAAATAAAACTCATTATAAAAGTTTTGAGACGACAAATGCAAGAAAAAAGCTATTTTGCTATTCGGCTATTTTGCTTGAAATGCGAAAAACTTTTAATACAAATTATTTAACGAAAAATAAAATTCAAATTTTTTAGAAATAAAAAATTTTTCGGAATAAAACTTTTTTTCTTTATATCTGCAAAAATATGCAGGCTGAAATAATAAAATTGTACAAAAATTAAATGTCGTTGCTGCAAGAAATTTGCGATCAAAAATTTTGCTCAATTTGTGAAAAGTTTTAAAAATCTGCGAAATTTTTATTTTTTCTTTCAATCAATAAAAATAAATTAACGAATGACTAAAAGTTAACATGACAAATAAAAAAATAAATAATATTTTGAACTACGAATTTTTCAAATTTAGATTTGAAATATTTAAAATAAATCAAAAGATAAAAAATTTTTTAATTTGATAATTATTAGAGACAATAACGAAAATTACATCAATACGTCGAAATTTTCCACTTAACCTCGCTTCTTTGATTTCCTTTAAAGCTTTACTTACTGTTTCACTATTTCGAGGTAAGCGACTTCGATTACTTGCTCGTTGATTCGTATTTCGACGCTTATTTAATATAATTTCGTCATCAGATGAGGATGACATTTTTCTCCTGGAAATATTTCGTAATTTTTTATTATTAAAAAGTTATAAATTATTCTAAATGATTTCGCGCGCACTGTGCGAGCGTGGTTCGCTCAATAGCTCGGTGAAAGCCACGAACGCTGAATTTTGGAAGCTGAGAATTGGTAGTCTTAATGAAAACATTTAAGAGTCGCGTAAGCTTCCTTGGTGATCTGATGAAAACTGCGAACTGTTGAGAAATGCGGAACCGTCCAAAGTTGAGATTTGTTTTTCAGAAAGCAAAAAAAACTAATTAGTTAAATTATAAATTAAATAATTAATAATCGATAAAGAATGAACGATAAATTTTATATTATAAATTATAGATAATAATATGAATAGGAATAAAGAATCTGCCGAATGGAATTTTTGCTTTTTGATCGGAAGGTATTGAAATAATTATGCAACATAATATTGGAATATTGCAACTGGCTTTTCACTTATGTTCACTTCCATGAAAAATAAATAAAGGCGATCTTCTTACATTGCAAAAAGGAATTTCGGGTAACAAATACAAAATAAAACTCTATAAAACGATAAATGAAACGTTGAAAAGAGCACACAACCTGCCTGAAGTACCACAAAATCGGCAATGAACAGTTGAAATAAATGTGGGTAACGAAAAACTTGAAAATATTCGAAATAAAATTGTTCCCGCTGAATCACTAATTTGCAGCTACAATATCAACTGGCAGTTTGGTTTTTGTTTCGAAAATTTTTTGTAAAATTTAATTTAACAGAAAATTTAAAAATTTTCTGATAATTGCGTGGTACCTCGTCCAGTTTGGTTTATTGATTCTGTTCTCTTGTGCGTATTATTTTTAGTGGTATTTGTGGTGTCTTTAATGGTTTCAGTTTTTAAGGCAGTTTGTTATTTTTTAAAGATAGAAAAAGTAAAATAAAAGCGGTTAGCGTTTCTTGTTCAGATCGACTCACTCGGCTGGCTGTTAGCAGGTTTGCATTTGCCGAGGCTTGAACATTTGAATAGTCGGTCTTTTAAGTGCAATTTTTATAATTTGCAAAAATTTCCGCAACTTTTTTATTTTACAATTATTTTTAATTATTTTTACGTTTTTTTCTTACTGTGGATTTTTGTTCATAGTTTTTGTTCATTTGTCTTTTCATAATTTGTTGATTTTTAATTTTTATGATTTTATAATTTTTATTTTTCATTTTATCATTTTGTTGAACTTTTTTTTAAATTTACTCATTCGATGTAATAATGGGAAGGCCGCAATTTATTGGCCAAGAAATTGAATAAAAGTGCTCGCCATTTCTGAGTTATTCACTTCGGCTGTTGGCTATTTGTTATATAGTTTTTCTGATATATAAAAATTATCATTTTTATAATTTATTATTTTATAATAAATTTTCGTTTTGCTTTTTATTGTTCTCTTCATCTATTACCTTTGTATATTATATGCTCAATGCTTTTGTAATTTACCTTTTGTTTGCTTTAGTTTATGACAGTTTCTTATTTTATTTCGACCTTAGCATTGATTATTTTATCGTTTCCTTATCGGCTCAGATGATGTGATCAGATTTGTGATCAGCAAAATCAAACGAGCAAAGAATTATTATCTCATTAATTTAACAAATAATTCAATTCTTTGTATATTTTCTCAACGTAATGTCGATGACGGATTTTAAAATGACTTTACCGAATCGGCTTGCATTTTGGTGACTTTTTAAAATTTTTCTTTTGATTTCTTTATATTTTAAAAATTCGCGAATTTGATTTTCTTATAGGAAAATTTTGTTTTAGGATGCTCGGTATGTGTAACAACTTCGCGTATATTATTATGCTTAGTTCTGCCAAAGATATATTGTCAGCTGATGGAAATATGCTTCCGTCTGGGAATTCCACAATATTTGCTTGTGAAGTTCGTAAGTGAAATGCTTTGAAGTAATTCTCTTTTATTTGTTTCGTTTAACTGTTTCGAAATTATTTGAAAAAAGTGAATAAATTCACAGGGGAATCTGCGAAAAGATTTAAATCATCTGTTGGTGCAGTTTTTTTATTTGAAGCAATTAGTTTTTCTAATTTTTTTAATCAGATGGTATTTTTCAAGGAAGTGATATCTAGTCGTAAATGTTCGAAAATTTCAACCGGTTCTGTCCTTTTGGCAGATATTCTTCCAGCATTAATCGTTAAAATCTTCGCGCCCTTTATTATGAATCGTGTTCCATTTGGGTTTGAATTGTTTTAATTGTTCATAGGAATTAGATTGTTTTATTTTCTTATTAATTTTTTTTTAATTTAAAAATATTGATAAAGTATATTGATAATCATTGATCTGTGTTCTGTGAGTTGGCAAATTTATTTATTAGTTAATTTTGTTTATTTTGTTTATTTTTTGCAGTATGCGGCATTTAATCGTTGTTGCTTTGCAAGCAACAAGTTTCATGCTCGTTGCTAATTCAAAAAATGTTTTCGATGCATTGTTCGGTTCTTTTTTTCTTATATACTTATTTTTTTATTTTATTATTAAATATTCTTTATAAATATAAATTTTCTTTAATTTCCAAGCTTTTGCTTGAAGAGGTATTTTTTATACCATTTTAATTTTTTTCGTATTTTGCAGGGGTTGTCCTTGCAAGTGCTGGTTCAGGCCTGGGTGAAGTAACCTATTTATCTCTTGCCTCATTTTATCATAGGTTTCATATTTTCAAAATATTACCTTAATTTAGTTTTATTTCGTGCAGCATGATTGAATCAGTTATATAATAATTTCTGTATATGTCGGTAAATCTATTATGTTTAGATTTAGATTCTTTATATTTGAATAAATTAAATAATTTTGAATTTTGGATTTTCAGTTTCTTTTTAGCTATACGATAACCGCTTGGTCATCAGGTACTGGTGGAGCGGGTATATTGGGCTCATTTATTTATGCATTATTTACCGATGAACATATGTTAGGCTTTTCACCGCGAGATGCTCTTCTTACTATGCTAGTTGTACCACTAATCTTTAGCTTTGCGTAATATTTTCAATTTATTTTGAATTTTTTTATTGACCCGCTTTTTGTTTACGATACCATTGTTCGTTATTTATGAACATTAATAAGGGAAACTGAAAGAACCATAACCATTCAATTTAAAAAGAAAAATTCATAGTATAAAATGCCATTTTGAGAGAAAGTCGACTTGATGTTTTTTCTTTAATGATTTCCCTTTTCCTTCTCTCACATTTTTTGGTCTTATAATCTTTTCTCTTCGTGACTTCGTTTCCCACCGACTTTATAAGCAAACAAGTGATAACCATACCATATTCACTTTCAAATGGAATTTTCAAATGTCTACTGAAGAAAATTTTTTTCCTCATTTTTTCATTATATTAAAAATATTTAAAGCTATTGGAAATTGTTAATATTGCCTCCTAAAATTCATCGTGTTTATTTGCTAAATCCATCGACATATATCGTCTCGGCATCCAGTATGTTTTTTGGTGAAATTTTGGATTTAAAGCATTAAATCAAGCAATTTATATGAATTTATGGATAATTTTTTTAATAGGCTATTGTACTAAAGAATAAAGCAAAAAACATATTTGGCTTTATTTTCCCACCAATGTAGCTTTTCAATGTAAGGATTTCAAAAAATATTTTAGCTAACATGACCATTGAACGTGACCATTCTAGTGACGATGAACTTGCTGAACTCATCGGTATCAATTTTTCAAAAAATGACTTTATTCATTTGTATATTCATTTATTTATTTCTATTTTTGGATTTTAATAATTAATTAATATAGTTTTGCTAAAAATAAGAGATTTTACAAGTTTTGAAGAAATTTTCGAGAAAGAATTTTAAATAAATAAAGATATATTAGGGCCAACTTTTTTGAAATTGATGAAATCTAATATTTTTTGTTCGGCTTGCTAAAAAATGTTTTTGGAAAAAGATCGAATTTTTTAAATTGAGTTTCGTTTCGAATTTTTTCCTTCGTCTTTATTCTGTAATATATTTCTAATTCTTGGTTTTTCTAATTCGTTAATCACAGCAATTTTCAGAAGATGAAGAAAGGGAGCATTTTTCGGCCCCAGTTTCAATGCTAGAGAAATTTGCAGCTGCAAAGGTAGAGAAGCATATTCTTTAATCTTAATTTTCAAATTTTTATTTTTTCGATAAAATTTTATTATAAGGTCGAATTCGATTTTCAGCCTCTTTTCTGGTTTATGATGCCGTTATCAATCGTATATTTTGCTGAATATTTCATCAATCAGGGTTTGGTTAGTTTCATCATTATTTCGATTTATTAATCCATTAATTTTTTTTTTTGTTGTCATATGCAATTATTTTTTCGCTGGTTATTTTTTTCCGTAAAATTGCACATTTTTTTTGTAAAAAGTAGCTATACATACCGTCATATACGGGCATGCTTAGTACTTTATAGGCAAATAAATTTTAAAAATTATTAGTAAATAAATTTACAGCAGTTGTAAGATCGTGAGGTTTCAGACAAATTTCCATTGATTAGTTGTGAACTGTGAGAAACGGTTTTTCTGTGAAAAACGAAGAACTTACACGGCTTCTTCATATATAGCTAGATGTTATGGAAGAAGTTTTTGTATTTGTTTCCGGCTTTAAACAAACTTTGAATTTAGAATTTGATCGTTTAATTTAGATCTTTCAGATGTAATGGAAGACGATATTAGACGTTTAGTGACATTATGTAAATATGAAATTATCAAATTTTGTCATGTCATTTATGGCACATTTAGCTATTATTGTTCCTTGTTTTTAGGTTGAACTGTTGCAGTTCGATTGTTCTCACGGTTTTGGTCTTAGTTGGTCAACACAATATAAGTGGTACCAGGTGATTTAGAATCTTCTTGAAACATATCTGGAAATATTATTTTTATATATTATAAATAAATAATATTTTATAAATAATATTATAAATATCAGTATTATTGTTGTAATTGTTAATATTTGTTTTGGACTCTGCAACTGCAACTGAAATCTTTTTTTCTAAAAGCGCTCACCAATTCTGGTTAAGCTCACTCGGCTGGCTTAGCGGATCAGAAAACCGCCAAGGAATCACGTGGCGATTTCCTGGTCATCCAATTTTTAGAGAAAAAGGTTTAGCCAGGAGCAGAAGCACAACATAGTCTCGAAATGACAGCAATAATCCACTGAACCATTTATTTTTTTTCAATAATTAATGGGTTGACTACTGTGACGACTTATTTTATAAAAATTGTTCCAGGTGCTCTACCAAATAGGTGTTTTTATTTCTCGGTCTTCTGTTGAATGTTTCGAGATTCCAGTTAAATTCCTAAAGTTTTTACCTGTGCTACAGGTATATGGCTTAATTTTTCTATTGTAGTAAATATTTCATAAATCTGGTCGAGATTAAACAAATATTTTAGATGCTGAATGCTGCATTCTTTTTTTGGGATGCAGTGAAAGAATTCATACCACACGTAATTCTTGTATTTATAATTATTTTTTATGAAGGATTGTTGGGAGGTGCAGCATATGCAAATACTTTCATGGCAATACACAAATTGGTTAGCTTTAGGTTTCTGATCTTTTTTATCTTAATTCCATTTAATAAATAGAATTCAACAAGTCCAATTCATATAAAACTGAACGTCACACATCATTTTAGGTATCACCTGAAAGAAAAGAATTCAGTATGGCATTTGTATCAATGTCTGATTCTTTTGGCATTGTTTGTGCTGGCATTCTAGCTATACCAGTTCATAATTTTATTTGCAATATTAACAACCCCGGATCTATTTGACTGCATTCTAATAATGCAATTGTTCGAGACAGTTATTTATTTCTGAAACACAGGAATAAAAGCAATTTTTGAACATATTTTTATTGGGAGTTTCGTTGGTAATCACTGCACTATTCTTCACTTTGCCGATTGATATTTATTTATTATTTTATATTTATTTATGTCACAATGTTCTATGATTTGATTTTATGGAATTTATTTGGGCTAATTAAATGTATATTTTCAAACAATTTTTTCAATTTTCAATTTTCCAAGACAGTCGTGATCAGACATCATAGTACCTAATGTTATAATTAAAGAACACAAAGAATGGTTGGATAAAAATTATGAATACAAATAATAATAGTAAACAGTCAATAAAAAATGTAGGATCAAACAAATCGTTATGGAAATCGATATCGATATTTACAAATTCTGTTTTATATTAATATCGCGTATCATAGTAAAATATTCAATAACCAAAACCTATTTTTTTAAACCAATTATATTTAGAAATAAAAAACCATAACATCTACGAATAAAACTATACCAGCACAATCAACAAAACCAAAAAAGACATAAGTGAAACACACGGAAATAAAAGTGAAGGGAATATTAACACTTATCGGATTTAAATTATAATGGGCAAAGTATACTTTTTTTTTTTTTTTTTAAATTGATTCTTGTGACCGCATAGCAAATCGTAGGAGGTCGCAATCAATCAAAAAATTGAAAATCCAACCTGTTAATTTCGGAACAATCATTAAATATCCAACTATAAACAAAATAGGACAATAAGAAAAATTTTTAAAAAATTATTTCTATTTCTATAATGAAACCCAATTTTACCTAGTGAAAAAAACTGAAACTAACAAAAAATGAATAAATAAACCGAAGAAAATGAAGAAAATTGTTAGGAGAACGTATCTTAAACGGGTGCCGTGAGCACGAAATTTTGTTTCATTTTCAAGACATCTTCCTGATATCATTCTTTTACATAAAGAGCGTTCTTGTTCCTGGTACAATCGAAATCTTACTTTTAGACGGTTCAATTCCTTTCTGATGAACTGAAAACTAATAAAATTTTAAATAATGATAAATAATTTTAAATTTTAAATATTTTTAAACAATGTAACGCTTCTATTCCAATAGCATGCTATATCTACATTTTTCGTGTTTTTTTCACGTTCACTTATCGAATCAAGTCTTGCCACAAACGAGGCTCAAAAGTGAAAATATTTCTGTTGCTTTCTGATGAATAAGAATTTAAATAATAAAAAATAACCTGATCTTCTGGGTCAATATTTATAGCTGACCTAAGAGTAGTAATTGCTTCTTCAATTAAATTGAGATTTGCAAAGGCGTTTGCTTTTCGAAATAATGCCTTTGTATTTTCAGGATTCAGTTGTAGAGCCTTATTTGAGGCATCTAATGTCATATCCCAGTCACATAGCTGCAAGAATTAATATGTTAATCGAATTTACCTATAACAACAGCTTTCATCATTTGAAAGAAAGTAGAAATTAACCATAGATGCAATGAAAAACGTATCCAACAGAAATGGGAAAGTAACCTTGGCATAGCAAACGGCCAGATTCGAATAAAGTACTGACATGAGGCCACATAAAATATCATCGTCTTCGGGAATATTAATTAGATCTGTGCCTCTATAAATTATATACCATAACTATGAGCAGTTATAAATTTATTTATAATACTGAAGTACTGAAGAAATAGGCAGTATCAAACAGACAATATAAATTTATGGTTAAAACTACCATTAAATTACCATAAGTAATTACAATATAAGAACAAAGTATTTATAATACTGTATATCGGTCAGAAAAGATTTTGAACGTATAGGTAGACCAGCAATATATGGACTTAGACGATGGAAAAAGGAATGGTTTCTATTACTGTCGACGATAGCATCAGACCGCTTGGAAGCGTCTTACCATTGTAATCGTTGGAGCCAGCTAACCAGTAATGATGAGAATTGTTAGAAGAAGATAATAGAAGAAGACAATACTGTATACCAGTTGTAATCCTCCCTCTAATATTAGCAAAAAAACGTAATAAAAAAAACCTTTTATAAACATATACAGCCTTATCGAATTCTCGTCTTCCATAATAATAATTTCCACGTTCTTTAAGTTCAGACAAAAATAATATGAGATCATCTCTAGGTGTCTGCGAAAAAATCGGCAAATCAATAATTTCAATTAATTCAAGTATGTACTCCATAGACTGATAAGGCGGTATTCCTCTAGAAGGTTCACCAATACTACCATATGCAAATCGATGATCCGTCTTCAAATAATCAATCTCGCCTTCATGCATAAGTTGAATCACTAATTCCCATGCTAAAAACGGCAAAACTATGGTTTACTATCATTATTAAGGTAGAATTATGAGAACTAGTAAAAGAAAATTTTAAGAAAACATTTAACAGTGGAAAAATTACCATCAATAACCATACTAAATCCAAGAACAAATGTTTGTACTTCAACTGAATCGATGCCTAATTTTTGATCAGTTACTCGAATTTTCACACGCTGACCGTTACGCGGCTTCGGTCCATTGCCTTTAGATTCAACCTAAATGAAAAATTCACGAATAAACCAGCCGCAAAATAAATAAAGCAAATAAAATTCAAATGAAACAAAAAATCAATGAGATATATAGATGAATATAAATGTATTTAAATTTCTGAATACTAAAATTAAAATATTATACAGAATTCGAACAAATCGACACCATTAAGCATTAAAATTAATAAATATTTAAATACTTATAAATATTTAAAATTAATAAAACATTAAAATAAACTTAAACACTAAAAAAAAACATTGAAAATTAAGTATTAAAAATATCTACAATTTTTAAAAATATAAACATAATAAAATACCTTGCATAATAATTGCCCAGTACCAACTACATCTATCCATTCATCAGATAACGAACTATTATCAAAGACATCCAAGTAGCTCTGTTCAGCTCGACACTCGGATTCTAACGCATCGCTTGAAGGACCTTTAGCTTGCGTGGCCAGTGTCTGAAAAAAGTCCGTTCACCTAAATGTGCACAAAAATATACTTGAATTATCACAAAAAAAATCAATCTAAAAAATAGACCTATGCTTATATGTATAAATAACAATCGCGAATAATGGATAATATAAGGTTACATATGAGCACTGTAAATTGCCACAACATAGTGCAGCAATAGAAATGAAGAAAAAATGGAGAAAAATATTAATGAAAATGAAAAAAAAAAGATAAAAGATAATGTATATATAAACTATGAGTTGAAGGTATAAAATAGCATTTAAAATGAGATTAGACCTGAGTTCTTGCGATCCGTGCTAGATCTGAATCGCTCAAAGCTCCCTGTTCCTCATCCATCGATCCATCTAATGATGGTTCTTCACTGCTTACTGCCCTTCTGTGATTATGAGGCTGCAAAACAGGAAATTTTAAATTTTTTGAGAACTAACGATAAACAATGAACCATCATATATGAAAATTTATGAGATGGACAATAGGAAAAAAAATGTAACATACGGCAACAACACTTTGCGTACCAATCATGTCGCTCAACCATAGATTAAATTTTTCCTGAAAAGACTCTAACAAATTAAGACCAAAGAGTTGAACAAAATTGAACAAAATTTCTATAAATTTCTATACGACTAATCGTTAAAATCAATTTTTCATTTTCATTTTCTGTTGAATTAAATATTAATACAAAAAAATTATAACACTGAATAAAATTGTCAAAATTCGACTTTCTATTTTTTATCAAAATTTAACAAAATTAAGACGAATATGCAACGAAAAAAAAGGAAGATGACTGATTAATCAATGAAAATTGTTTGGCAGATGAGCAAACAATATTTTTCTAAAAAATATCATAGCCAATTTTACATTTTACCAGAAATATTTAATTTTATGCAATCATTTGTAATTTGTATCCAAATCATAACAGTAATAATTACTAATGTAGCTATCATTATCGTTAAAAATAAATAAATATTATTAATAATGAGAGAAATCATTAAAAATCTTAAATTGAAATATGTCTTTTCTTTTTCAACAGAAAAAAAAAATTTCGGAGGACATAAGATATTTGTCAACGAAAAGAAAAGCGAAACCCAAAGGAAAATTTTCAGATGATAAAATGCGAAAAAATCAAAAGACAAAAAAACAAAAAGACAAAACATCTTTGGTGGTTCCTAAAAAAATTCAATATAATTATATAATTTTTTTAAAGAGTCCTCACCATTACTGGTTAAACTCGCCCCACTGGCTTGTCGCATTGGGCAATATGACCAGTCCGCCTGCGCAACACCCAGATTTTTTTGCACAGGTTTACTCCCGCGAGGAATCGAACCTCAGCATCAGAACTCTTAATTGAGCAACGAACCGTTGAGCCATTCTATCCCCTAATATATAATATATATATTAATATAATATAATATATACTATGTATAATATAACATACACTATGTATATATGTATTGTATATTAATTGAAATAATACATAATTTAACATGGGGATAGAATGGCTCATATGGGCTGTTGCTCGACTGAGAGCGATACCGAAGTTCGATTCCCCGCAAGAGTAAACTTGCATAAAAACCTCACTGCTGCCGACTCACTCGTATTTCTATCGTCAAGGGACTCCCTGGCATATGGCCCAGTGCGACAAGCCAGTGGAGCAAGTTTGACAAGCAATGGTGAGGACTCTTAAAAAAAAATGTATATTAAAATATAATGGTATATATATTATATATTATATTAAAATACTTATCTATTCCTGCAAAACTATCAAACTTTTCTGTTTCCTTACTACCAACCACAAATCCTATTACTTCCATTCAATGCATCGTTCTCTCCAATACTCTCTTTTCCTCTAACCAGGCAGCAATCCTCCCGAACCTCCACGAATAATTCTCTCCGAGCCTGTTATACTCCTACATGGTTCACACTCATCATCTGGTAACGTCAGCAGTATTTCTGCCATCTTCCAGTTGGTTTTTGGCATTGCCGAATTCACTTTAAGCTAGCCAAGTCCATTTTTTTAAAGTACACTTGTCGAATACAATTTCTTAGATTCTTTTTTCATTTTTTGTATTTTTTGTGTATATTACATTTATTTTTGAAATATCGGATTCGTTGTAACGAATTACGTGTGCGAAAAATTTTAAAGAATTATTTTGCGACAAATTTTACTTGGTATAAACAACACATTTAAATCTTTCAAAAACAATTCTCTTTTACCAATTTTTTAATGAAACAATTAAAACATTTATAACGGAAAAACAAACGGAAACAATTTCACTAAAGTAAAAATAAATATGAAAATAATTGGGAAAAAAATTAAGCCGAGTAGACAAGAATTAAAAGATATTCGCTGCAAGACCAAAAAAATTTTAAAATGCTTTGCATATTTGTGTTGCGTGGTATAGGGAAAAATGACAGTCAAAACAGTAGGAAAAAAGAAAATAGGAAACGCGAAGTCGTTTCTGTCTGGTCTAAAACAGATAAAATGAAAATGGTTGAAAGCAGATAAAATTCAAGAGAAGAGGAGCTCGGTTATCCATTTACCGATTCCAATATGGATAATGACATAGTAGGACAACAGAATGTTTTAAAGAAAACAATGATATGTAGTGACATTTTTTTTATTTCCTTTATTACGTTTCTTTCCCAAAGTTATTTCATTGATTTCATTGCATCTTGAAAGCAACAAGTCTGTCCCGACACAAAATAGAGATTGATGGAAAAACGAGCCCAGGACAACCAAAGCTTTACGTCCATAGTTTATTGCTGAACTAAACCGTTTTATCTAAAGAAAAGAAAAACAATTGTGAGAGAACATTCGGCAAGCTTTCGGTCGTAATAGGGTGAAACATCAAACCATTTATGGAAATCAGTGGTCAGATGACAACCGTCAACATTTTGTTCAAATACCATATCGCTTGCCTCTAAGAAGCCTGTTTTTTACTATGTACATTGAACAAGTATAGTACCTACATGATACGAAATTCAACCTCTATAATTCACAATCTAAAATCCAATAAAACCTTCCAGAGAAAATGGTTTGTGAGGACTGAAATCTCCAAATTCATTCCAGCGTCCATCACAAAATACCTACAGAGACTATATTTATAGATATAGGGCAAATGCCATGTGACTGGAGCAAAGCAATTCTACCCTAATTCTCAAGAAAAGTAATAGGATTCATTGAGCTATCTGTCGAAGAATCTTTTCTGAAGTTTTTGCTTCCTTTCTCCTAAATGATGGCAATACATGACAAGATGAACCTATTTAAGAGGATCCCATCCTAATTAAGCCGGATTTAATCACGTAGACGTGGTTACACCAACCAAATTTTCGCATTGAGAAGAATTTATACATTTATACATTTCATTATTTTTCAAGTATTAGTTTTATCAAAACATTTCATCATACCCTAGATGAGTGTGTACGTGTAATTCTTCTTCTAACAGCCACCAATAGTGGTTAGGAAGGCTCCGCTGGCAAGAATAAGGCGTCTCCAAGTTGTCTGACCTGATGCCATCGCCGACAATAAAAGAAGCAATTCCTTTTTTCATCGCCTAATTCCATATAATCCTTATATACCTTCTAACAGCTCTCACCATTACTGGTTGGGCTAGTTCCAACGGCTACAAGAGTAAGACGCTTCCAAGCAGCGCAGTCTGATGCTATCGTCGACAGTAATAGAATCCATTCCTTTTTCAATCGTCTAAGTTCATATACCGCTGATTCACCTACATGTTCAAAAAATCTTTTGCTGAATGTGTCAGTCCAGGTCCTGATTGGCCCACCTCGCTTTTGACGTCATCCATCACACGGTTTACCAAGTAACGAAGTGTGCGACAACTCTTGTGGTGGAGACGACGTAACCACCGAACTAACCACCGAAGGCGATTCTGTAACAAAATTATTAATGCAAGTGAGACGTGGATTGATTGATTTTCTTCGCTTTTAAAGCCAACCACCATAGGATTTAATAAGTAACGAAATATATGTCAATTGCTGCGGTTGGCGACGAAGAATGTACCCTAATCACCGAAGGAGACGCTAAATGACGGTACTATTAATACAGGTGGTATCTGGTGAAAATGGATGGAATTGTGTGAGATTTGAAGCGATGTTCCGGCACCCTTCTTAGCGTAAATATCTGGTCATTACAACCCCATCCAGGTCCGAATCCAACTTAATTGGCGCACATCCTACTATCTCGTACTGCCATCAGTCCATTCAGCTGGAGAAAAGCAAAAGTTTTCTCGATGGGTTCAAAAATGAGCAGAATATGATTCAGCAGAACATATCAGACAAATAATTTCAATTGATTTATCGATTAAATGAGCAACCTCAACCAAAGAATAGCTGTGACTGCGCTTTTGGGTACAAATCTATTTATTGCAAATCTATGTCTATTGTGATTTCGTTTAAATATAATTTTTGGGTTGGGCAAATTCACCTTTTTTTCAGTTCAATTTAGTTATTGTGATTTTTACTTAATTTTTCGTTTGTATAATTGACAATTTAATATATTGTTATACGATTTTATTTTAAATAAAGGTTTAGTTACCCAAGTTTGAGGTAGGCAACGACGAACGACAGGTTACGATCCTTTTAACGGAAAGATTAACGGTTATAAATCACGAACACATCTAAAAGTCTTTTTTCGTTATACCCGAAAATATCTAATAGGTTTATTCCTCTATAATTATCCTGTTACTTTTCTTAGGAACTGGGAATAGAACTGCTCTGTCTCAGACATCTTTTTTAATTTCGTACCAAAGAGTACAATTGCTGAAGATGTGTTATAAAGGATGATTAATGACATTTGAAGAGTTCGACCAGAAGACCATCTTCTCCCGGAGTCTTATTGGCCTTAAGCTTCTGGATAGAATATTTCGTGTTGGCAGTTAGCAGTTGCAAATATGGTACGGTGAGAGGTTCAGCTATATCAGGGACAAAAGACGATCTTTAAATCTGGTTTCTTTCCGTCTTATAAGGCGCACCATTACTATACCATATCATTTCAATGGCCGTTCTACGAGTTTTCTTATTATCGCCTAATCGAACCACCGCCTTCATTCTCAAGGCCATATTACTACAATAATGATTTTTCTCATGCCGTGCTGCTGACACTGTAATTCTTCGAAGCATTCGATGATCAGGACATTCGTGCTTTGGCAGCGTTTTCAGACGATTGGACAGTTGCTTCCGATACCCAACTAGCACATTTGTACTAGTATATCTTGGTATAGAATTGGTTAATTTTCGGAGACTTTTAGTTACGATCAGTATTCATCTCCAGTTCCAGAGTCATCGATATCCATTTTACTGAATTATTCAATAATTCAGTGTAAAATGCGAATCTATTGTCCCCGAATCTTTTAATTTAAGATAATTGAAAGATGTTAAGGAAATCATTGGGGTTGTGAATTGCTAGTTTTATGTGAATCTTGGTTCGAACCATAACATCGTCTGATCCATGAAGACCTAATTTTAATGCCCCGAGAAGGACAACTATCTATTACTGAACTCTATGGCGACAGACCAAGATATAATCAGTCTGGTTGGAATGTTCGTTATCGAAGGAGTTCCGCATGACCATATGTCTTCTCCGATGCCAGAATGATGTGTTAGCAAAGAGTTCATGAAAACGAAATAAGAAAAACGAAATAAGCTCCATTGGCTCACCGGATGCATATCCGGTCTCCGTCTATTATAACGATGTCAATTTTCGGCAGAGATATTGTTAGCAATTAAAGTTCCGCCTAGAACCTATCCTTATCGCGACGATCGGCGCATAAAGTTGGAGTATACACTAGTGACCGAAATAGTGGAAAACTTTCCTTTGAAGGGAGCACAGACCACACAGTCGTTGAACGCTTTCCACTCAACCATAGTTTTTCCAGACATGACAATCGCTACCCCGAGTTATCCGAAGCACCACAATAATATAGCTAGTGACTCTGCGGAAACAGATTTAATAATTGCATGAGGTCCGAACGGAAGAAAACGAACCTCCGACAAGCAAGCGACAACCACACGGTATTTGCAAAGAATGTGGATAGTGATCGCTTGGCTTGTAACGTCCATGAGCGTTCCATGCTGCTACGGCTAACACCTCGCCGAGCACGAAGAGAGCCGTTTCCATTGAAAGGTTTCGATCAGTTATTGTGGCTCGAGAGCAGATCATATTCATAAGCTTTGAGATCGTTTCACTACGCCCGGATTGCAGACTTATTGCATGTATCACTGGGCTAAGAATATCATCGTCGGAGGACGTGGAAATTGTGTCAAAAAGACCTGACCCTCTTACCACAGAGTCACTTAGGGATATTGTTGCAGGTGGATCCCCAGCAGCCACTCGGATTTTTGATATGGCAGATTTTCTCTTACTCTTATCAAAGATTAGAATATGGAAAAAAGAATTAAGAGAGAAAAATAAAAATAAATAAAATTAAAAGAAAAAGCCCACTTAAAAAGGGAAAAAAAATCGTTTAAATACGAATAAATACGATTTAATTTATAATTTATATCCTATACCTTACTTTATTAAAAAAAAAATTAAAAAAACTTTGCTTAATTGCTATAAAAACTTGACGCACCAGAAAGCATAGAAAATGGAAGAGCGAAACAGAAAAACGACCAATCAAGAAATTTTCGTAAACTGACGGGGAATTGATACAACCTCTTGGAGTACGCACTGATCTGCACTGATGTGTATATATCAAGGCTGCATTCTTTTGCCTACAGTTTTCAACTATGCTAGATCGGGTTATAAACGCGGCACTTGTGAAGTATGCTGATGCTCTTTTTCGCTAACAGTTAAATGCAATGAACGTTGGACCGAGTCGACAGTACCAGCGAAAATTGACTTTGAAATCAATGAAAAAAAACCCACCTAGCTACATAACATATTTATGAGGAACTTGGTCAATGGAAGTAAAGAAGCTTTAAGAAAAGTTTTAAGCCTTTAACCATTCTTGCCTAAGATACATACATCCTACATAGTTACACCAAGGTCAAAATCTCACCATCTGCACAAAACGTCATCTAAGTTGGTGGTTGCTTTGACCAAATTCTTCGTCGCTCACCACAGCAATTTATACACATCTTGCTTGCCTGCTAAAATGTGTGATTGATGGCGTTAAAACCGTGAAGGAGCAACCAGGACGGTCGAAACAGCACGGTCAAGACGGATTTGGAAAGCAAGGTGGCTCACCGACTTAGGCAGTGGAAAAAAGAGTGACTCGGATTTTTGATATGGCAGATTTACTCTTATTAAAGATTAATATTAAAGGAAAAGATTAAAATAAGAAGAAAAGAACTAAGAGAGAAAAATAAAAACAAATAAAATTAAAAGAAAAAGCACTTAATTACTTCACTTCAATTATTTCAATTACTTGAAGGATTGGCAACAGAGGGCAAACGATGCGAACCAGCAGTGGTACAGGCTTACTAGAAGAAGAAAAAGATTTCAGGCTCTGAACCATGGGTCAAGAGAATGGTGAATCAGTCCCATGAAGATCGTACAGTGCTTCTTTGCATATTTTCTGTTCATCTGTAGAATGATCCCACATTCAAACTCCTTCGTTGGCAAGTATGTCCCTTTCCTCCTTCACTCACCCTTAAGGAATACTCACCCTTCTCTAGTTCCATTTGTTGGCACTGTACCGTGTTTTCACAAATAATCGTTGCAAGACCAGGTTGAGCCAATTTCCTTCTTATTTGTCTTATTTATATTACATACGAAAGACAGCGACTGGTTGAGAGTGTTTCATTGGTTGGAGAATTCATCAATCGACGAGCTTTGAATGAATTAGTTAATTTTAAGTTATATTATTTAAGTCTATGTTAATTACTTAAAATATACTGGCCGATGTACTACAATGCAGCCTCCTTGGTGAGGATCTGCTTCAGCCTGCGACACCCCGCGGAAGTTCTGTGCAGTCCCGCAGAACGCGAGGTGTGCTGTTTACAAGCCAGACCCGCAGCTGAGTTGCCCATTTGAATGTATCATGAATGAGGAGATTAACACTGCCTAATATACTTGCTACCGTTCGAATCTCAGAGGCTGCCTTGTCATATTGCTTCCCATGGTACTTGCTCGTTTACGCAGTAACGAAATCAGTTGAGTGCGTAATTTGTAATGTAAAAAATAAAGTGAAATATCTTATATAAATCATGATATTTTATGCACATGATTGTGTCCATCTTCGCTCAATTAAATCACTTGCATTAATATGTTATCATATTATCGCAGAGCGTGACCTTCGCTGGTTAGGGCAACGTTCTCCGTCGTCCACCACAGGAATTGACGCATATTTCGTTACTTGCTAAACCCTGTGATGATACAGTCGTGAATGATTCTGAACGAATAGGTGGACCAGCGATGTATGGGCTTAGATTAACGATGACGTCGACCCTTATAGCCAGCGGAGCAAAACCAGTAATGGTCAGGGCTGTTAGAAGAAGAAGATTTTATAAATTTAGAAGATTTATATACAAATCAAATAAATTTCATAAAAATTTTCATATTATCAAGTTAGGGTGCACAATAAATATAGTACAGTAAAAGCGCTAGGGCGACAGAAATAGGATTTTCTAAAGATACGTTTACGATCAGAAAATCGAGGGTCTGAAGCAGTTACAGAGTATGAAAATGAAAGTAAAACGAATAATATAAATTAATATAATATTAATTAAAACTAAATAATTAAAACTAAAACTAATAAATTAAATAATATAATATAAATTAAAACGAGATTTTTCTACTTGCACTTTGCGTAAATTTTAAGTGTATTTAAAAATTCTAGAAATATGTCGGATTTGTCGAAGCTTAAACAGTGTATTGTAAGTGTTCTTGGTTCGGCGAAATTTGGCTATACTGTTGACGAACTGAATGAGAAATACAGGTTTTTTACATATAATTTTTTCTTTTTGTTTAAAACTTGGGCTAAACTTTTGGCTTTCCTGGACCGCAGTTTGCGCATAAAATAGATATAAAGTACTAAAAGTGGAAGAAATGAGAAAAAAACTTACATATACTTTTTCGGGATGAAATTAAAGAGAAAAACTTAAAACTAGTGAGCCTTGTTTTTGTGTTCTTAGTGAGTTCTCAGGGCCACATGATAGTTTTCCGGTTCGGGTTCGTATGCAGCCAATGAATTGGACGGTCTTGCTTAAAGCAATCGATCAAAACAATTTTTTAATTGGTGTTCCAAAGTTTTTCCTTTTTTAATTGGTACTTTCCTGTTATCTAATATCCACGAATAAGCCTTATAGCACCACAGTTTTTGTTTGTTCGCATCTTTTACAAATTTAAAATATAGCAAGAGATTTTATTTCATTTTATTTTAAAGTAGCTAAAAAATTTGTCCAGAGTTTTTACGTTTCTTGCTTAGATTTTAAATAATGTTAATTTATCATTTAGAGAATTATGGGAATCTGAGATAAACGCAAAAACTTATGGATTTAATAATTTAAAAGAAATTTTGGAATCAGATGAGCTGAAAGATAGTATATATTGGAAAGGAGAGCGGTGTTTTGCTGTTACTAATGCGAATATTGCGCATATAATTAATCTTATCGCAGAAACAAAATCGAAAATTCCTTATCGTAATTTTTATTAACAGGCTTTTCAGGCTTTATGGATCAATTTTTTTTATTTAAAAGCGTTTACAGATATTTTATTTTTTCTTAGATTTTTTTAGTAAAAAAATTTGAGAATTTAAAAATATTTCGTCAATAATAATAAATAATAATTACAATAAAGATTTGTCTAGAATTTTTGTTTTTGTGTTAACTGAAAATTTTAATTAATTCCTTAATTTTTTATTCGGAAAATTTTTTGAAATCACAGTAAGATTATTAAGTAATGAAAGAAACTTTTTCAAGGCGGCGATCACAAAGTCAGACGAAAGAATACAAATTATGATGGAAATTCTATCGAAAATCATCATCATATACAAAAAAAACGAGGTAAAAATTCGATAGTAATAGTGAAGCATGGTGCTTTAGACTAATTCGAACGCGATCCAATCTCCACGCTGGTCATCCTTCTTATTACTTATCATATAGATTATATAAATACTTCATTTATTTGCGCAGATCGTTTTATATTTGATTTTTTTTTTTATCTCAATGTCATGTTGGTTTTAATGAATTGGTTTTAATGGAGAAATGAAGTATTTTTGTAAAAAATTTTATAAAAGGAATTTATAGTGAATTAACTTCAGTTCTATCCAGCTTAAATATTTATTTGAGAATTGATTTTGAGAATTTGTTACAAGACATTTTACTAATTATCTTTCAGAATTCACTAATACTGTAGAAAAAGAATATGGAACTAGTTCAACCAGTCATTACAGCAATTTTGATTCGCATATACTTTCAAATCAGCTTGGAAGTCAACATGAATCAGTGGACCCTTCAGTCATCTCATCCATGGTTCAACCTTTTTTTAAAGAGCTTTCGAAAAAATCCAGGGACAAATTTCAAGATCATTCAACGAAATCTTTCGCATATTTAACACCAGTCGAAGAACAGAATTCTTCTTTTCGTCGCCCAATTTCTTCTGAGGAACAGTTTTCGTCAAAAAATATTGAAAAAGTAGGCAATTCTCATTCATATTTTATATAAATTTGGATCTCCTGCAGTGATTTTAAATTTATGTTGTATTTTTTTCATTTGATCATTTTTTTCATCAGTTGTAGGGCTCAAAAAAAATCATTTCATTAATTGATAATGAAGGCGGTTCGATAACTTTGTCGAAATTGAAACGGATATATTTTGAACGATTCAAAAAGGAACTAAATGCGGACGAAGTATACGCTTAATTTAATTACTCTGCTCCATTTTATTTTGAATTTTTGAAACGAATTTTTAAGAACACACCTTATTTTAATATATTATTAAGCCATCTTTGGTACTTTATAGCTTCAGCAGGAAAAATTATCATTCAAAATGTTTCAGTAAATTATTAAAGTATTTTTTAAATATGAATATTTTAAATATGTTTAGCTTCTTACTTTTCATGTTTAATGATATATTTTGCTCAAAAACTCCGTTCTTTTGGTTTGTTCATGAGAGAAGAAACTCTGAATGCCAGTTTCTTGCGATTGCTCAGAAAATTTATCATATAATGTTAAAAAAATTTTTATTGAAATTTATCGATATTCAATTTCTGGCTATCGCAATATTGTAGCTTCGTATTTTGCTTGGTTTTTCAAAAAATGATAATATTTCTGAGCTGGAACTTCTCTCGAAATGCTTACTTGGTTATGGTAAAGTTAAGTCTAGTTCGGGTGATTTTACACTTTCAACTGCGGATTTAAAGGCAAATGAGGATGGTGATTTTATTGAAGGTATTTTTTATTATTTTATTGTTATTGTTTTTTCTTTTGCCTTTTCTTCCTTTCACTCTATTTTTACTATTTCTCGTTCGTTTTCCCATCGTTAAATCTATTTAACTATTTGTTTTTACAGAATTTCAATATTTTTCTCCATTCGACAAAAACGAAAATTCATCCTCATCTTCAAAAGAAATGAAAGTCTGTAAACTTATATGACCTAAAATTTCCACATGAGAAAAAAGCTGAGTAGATTCAACCGCTTTGATGATAATTTAAAATTTATCAGTCGAAGTTGTTAGTAGAAGTTGATGAGATTTTTTACTGGTTCTTTATTTAGGCTTAACAAATTCTACTTTTTTAATTTATCGAATTATTATCGATCTATTCCGTAGAAACAAATGCATATCCAATCTCCTTTCATTTTTGAAATTTTTAAGTATCAGAATATTAAATTCCAAATGAATCTTGAGATTAATCGATTGAAAACATTTTGAAAAAAAAAAATCGCGATCGATATTGCTTTGCAAAAATCCTTAAAATTGACGAAATAATGCTATTATTCTGCTTATTTAGATAATGCAACCTTACCTTTCTTTTTTTTTTTGATTTGATTTCTTTCAGAACTTCTCAGTGATTTATTAAGTAATACTGTTAAATTTTTTAAATTTTTTCTAGAATTCTATAATTATATTTAATTTAAACTTTTATTAGAAGTAATTTTTGAATGAGAAATTTTCATCATCCGCAAGAATTTGTCGTCATTAATTTAAAGAAATTCAATAGCAAGGAGATCTTGAAGGCGATTGAAAATGCATCTTCCAATATCCAACAGTTTTCAAACCTTAAATGCAAATTAAATTTGGAAGTTATTGATCTGGTGAGTGAAATTTATTTTTGATTTTTGATGTTCCAGTGGAAAAGGCGAAATTCTAATCTGTTGTTTATGTTCTTCTTTTAGTAAATAATATGTTCTTTTTTGTTGCTTAAGTCTGCAAATTTATTCAGATCATTGAGTTGGTGCAAACGCGGCCAGTCAGCCAGAAAGAACTTTTCGATCATCTTACGGCACATGGTGTGGTTGTTAACGATCGACCTAACTTTTTTTTAACATTGATTTTAGAACATAGAAATACATTCCGATTATTTTTCAGTTGTGGAGGTTATTATTATTTTAATTATATTGGTCTGTTCTTAATTTTTATTATTAAAACAAGTATCATTTTATTAATTTACTGTTTGCCATTTTTGTTTTAAAAAAATCATAGTATTATTCTTAACTGTTATTCATAGCATGAATTATTTCGATAAACATTGATATCCATTTAATTTCTTCAATTTTCCAAATGACAAATTTAATAATTAGATATCATAATATCGCTGGTAGCGGATAGATCACCTGTTGATGAATCGCCTGAAATATTTCAACTTGTTCCTCGAAATCGCGTAAGATCTGACGTCTTGCTGCCTTATTTTTTTGAAAAAACATCCATTTTTGATCTACCGGTAAGAATTTTTGAATCTATATCTGGTTCGAATGGAATTCTCACAGTTATGTTATAATTTTATCGCTACGTAATCTTCAACCAAATAAAATTGTTAAGTTATATTTTAGTATGATTTTTCGTTAAAATTTTCAGATAATTTTGGTCAATTTGGAGTTAATTGATGCTCCAATCAATCAATATCGATTTAAAATATCATTTTCTGTGAAAGACGATTCGTTTGTTGAACGAAAACGTTTTCAAGTTGCGATATAGTACGTTTCTATAAAGAAATCTTATTTTAAGAAGAATGGTTAACAATTTAGATAATAATATTCAGCGAGTTTTACGCGATCAACGTGGACAATGCCTCTTTACAAGTAAAGGATTTTTCTTTCTGCGAGGATTACGTTTATCTAGAACAGTTCACTTGCTCTGCATTTCGGGTTCGAATTATTGAAAAAAAAGATGAATCGTTGCACGTTCTTTTGATTGATTTCAGCACTGAAAAAAGGATTCGAGGGGTCCAGTTGAGGAAGGTTTTTTTTGCTTACTTCGAACTTTGAGAACCTTGAAATTTTACACTGAATCTGATTTAATTATTTTATGGTTTTATCAAAGAATCATTTTTAATGCTTTTGGCTTATTTCATTTTTTTTTCGTTTGATTCATTAGAAATTTTTAATTTTTTTCTTCACTTCTGTATTTTCATTATAAATGTTGCAAATCTTCAGTTGGTACCAAAATTTGCAAATGTCCCAGCTTTTTCTGTTACTGTGTTTAGTACTCCGATTTTATTCTCTAAAGGGAACAAGGTAATTTCTTTTGGTTTTTTAAGCATTTCTCCACTTTTTGCTGCCCAGACTGCTTATTTTTCTTTCTATTCAGTTTTCTAATTTTTTTTGTAAATGTGCCTTTTTTTTTAAAATTAAAATTTTCATTTTTTTCTTATATCTGTGATGTCATTTTGCGAAATTTTTTCAGTCAGCTTTTTCAGAATCAATTCAACCGAACGTTTTCTGAAGTTTGTAACATTTTCATGACGCCAAATGCAGAAATATTTGTTTCAGTTGATTGTAATGTAATTTTGCTTGTTATATTATTTTATCTTGGTTCATAAAATTAATAGTTGCTGATAGCTTCTTATAGGTGAAGAGTTTAGGAGAGTATAGGAACATCAAAGAAAGGCTCTAATATTATATTAGTCCTCTGTTTTCCTTAGTCACTATAATGATTTTGATGTTTTACGAATTACATATATATGTCAAGATTGAGAAAATTTTTATTTATCAAATTATTTATCGCTTTATTTTTTTGGATTATTATCTGAATTATTTTGTTGTGAATGTTGAAAAAAGTTTTTTATTTCAGTCATCTTCTGATAGTTACAAATTGAAACGATTATTATGTCGAAAACCTCAAACCATCGCTATTCCTCATTATTTTATCGAAAAAAATTTCATTGAATTGTGCGACAGGTCATTATGAATTATATGTATATATATATCGTTTCGTTTCTCGCCAAATACGACAAGTTGAATTGATTTATTTTCTTTCTTATCTTCGTACTTTCCTTCTTTTAATTTTTTGCAGGTAATAATTATTTTAATTTTTATGAATAGTTTTGGTTCTTATCATTCCAGAAAATCTACTTTTTTGTCATTAAATTGTAGGCAAAGTTTGTAGTCAAAAAATTTAAGTAAATTACCTTATTTGTTGGAAATTTAAAAGTATTTTGCTTACCTATCGAGTCTTTTGTAAGATTTTAACGTTATCGATTGCCTTATTGTTTTTAAAATAAAATTGATTTTGAATGAATAAATGAATGTTTTTTGCCCTGTCATTTTGACTTTTAATATTGTCAATTTTTTAAAATTTTTTAGTTTAATCTAATTTTTTCACTTTTTTCACTCATTCAATTTTTTCTTCGTTTTGTTTTATATTTATCATTTCGATCTTACTTTTCGCATTTTCCATTTTTTTCTATTTTCAATTTTTTTTTATTTGGCGCAAATATCGAGTAAAAGGTTCGGGTCCATTATCCATCAAGAACAACAATAATAAGTTAATCAAAACTCATTGGTAAAAAATTACAGTGACAAAGAATAGTTCAGATAAAACATAGAACATCGTGTGAACAAGATGCAATAAGTTTTGTGGATAATCAAAATGGACTAGTCAAGGCCTTATAGGAATTTTAGGACTCTGAGTTTGGGGGTGACTCGGCGATATATATGCACAAATGGTAGGAAAGAGAGTGGGTCGTTGGATCTAGTGGCTTGAAATCTTCCAATCTTCCATAGCTAGTCTAGCCGATTGTGGCGCAAATTTAGATCATCGCGTGAATGAGCCAGGCAACCGACAAGTGCGCATCCGACTCTTCATCCTAATTTGTTATAACTGAATTTTTAATTTGAATGAACTTACACTTCTTATTTGCATTTTCCAGTTTGAAAAAGTGGTGCTAATTGAAAGAAGTGAATTGCGAACACAAGCGTGGTGTCGAGCGTACGAATTTTTGAATTTCTCTCGGACTTTTTGGGTGGTGAGAAGCAGAACATGACGCGTTGTCGCGTTGTTTGTCGGAAATGTAGGTTTGCATCAGCGGTGATCGAGTGGTTCTTTTATAAAAAGAACTTAGGTGGAGGGGGTGTTTGTGTTTGTCTTCAATAAATTATTTAACAATTTTTTGCAGCCCTTTTTTAAAATCCATGACTTCACGAAAATCTACTTAATTTTTTTATGGCAGTTTTTGGTTATCCGTTTCTAGTTTAAGCGTTATTCATGATTTTTCCGCATAGTTTCTTTATTGAATGAAATTCTCTAGGAATAGGAGAGGTGCGAGAGGAATAAAGATGAAAAGTGAATAGAAATAATAGAGAGGGGAAAGAAAGCAGATGATGAGTTAAAGCATTATGAGTTATGTTCGTTGATCTTGGACGAGAGATCGGCAAAAGTGCTGGTGTCCCATCGAATGATTTCTCATCCTCAGGTGGTTCTCTATAGGTAAAATTTGATCAGAAGCAAAGGATGGGAAAAAAGCTATCCATGCCTTCTAAGCCATGCTCAACCATACTAGCGATTAGCGAAAAGCACCATTAATATTTTGATCTTCTAACAGCGTTCACTGTTTCTGATTTTGCCGGCTTTACCTACTGCAAAAATGAGACACTTCGTTATAGAATTCTATGAGAATGGATATGTGGTTGAATCTACTGCAACTATTTTCATTTTAATGGAATGTCTGATAGTGGTTGCTAAATGTTTCTTAACTTTTAACTGTTGTTCTTATTATTTTTCGTATCCGATTTAAGACTAACTTCGATGATTACAAAATATACGCTTTGATTGTATGCTTTTATTCGCCTTCTAATAGTCCATGAATACTTTTCAACTGAAATTGAAGTTCAAAAAATAAATTTAATTTAGGGAATATATAAAAAAATATTTTGTGTAGGTTATCTCATTGGATTGACGAATAATTTGCAGCTTTTTAAATATTATCAGTGATTCGCTTCTCAGTTGTTCACGGGCTTTTTATTAGAGTAATTTTTTATCATGGAAAACTTCATCTATTCACACTTATTTAATACTTTTGGCTGACGTATTATAAACACTCAAATGAGGAGTTGAAAAGGAGCATTTTCTATTTATTTTTGTTTTCACTTATTTTTTTTAATAAATGAGTTTTGCCATTTTAAAGTAAAGTTCGGTAAAGCTCTTTCACCAGCTTTTGATAAATATTTAGAAATGATAATATGAGGCTATTGAATAGACTTTTTTTTAAAGCATAATTATTTGGATTACATTTACTTTTTTTTTTTAACAGTTTAACTTTATCCATTTTCGCACCGTTTGCTGCTAAGGTAAGGCCCATATGTCTCCGAAGAGATGGGCAGATGAGTCTTCAGTATCATTTTTGACAGCTTCATGCCATCAATTAATAATATTCGAGTCCTTTAACATTTTGACTTTAGTCAGAACACTATGTTTTATTAGATCTATATTTGATTAATATGTTTGCGATTTGTTTTTAGCATTTTGTTTCGAGTTACTGATTATTATTTTGTTCATTACAGGAATATATGAAATTAAAGGAATGCAATATTCGCATTTTCTTACCTTTACCTTATTACCTTTGTTTTTACCTTTTATTTTTCTATTTTTTTTATTTTTTTATTTTTCTTATGCCTTTGCATTATTATGCGTCGCTGTTGTAATTAAACACGCATTTACCGCGCTAAGTTTTAAAAGAAAGAAGTTAAAAAATTCTCGTCGCATTTTCTTTCTTGGTTTCTCAGTTCTACATAACTTATTTTCGCAAAGGTGAAATAATGAAAATAAATTTAGAAGGATTTTTATATTATTATGGCTTCTGGAACTTCAAATAGACCAGTTACTGGACAACGATTTTTGTCAAATATTCGTGCGATTTTTACGACAATCAACTTGAATTTGTTAGTTCTTTTTTGAAATAGAGTCTTATAGACGATTTTTTTTTCATTTTTTTCCAACAGCTCTAACCATTATTGGTTAGTCCGCTGACTACAAAGGTAAGACAAGCTGCTCGCTATCGCTAGTGGTAATAAAAGCTATTCGTTTCTCCACCATCTAAGTCCATATATTGTTGGTCCAAACACGTTCAAAATCTTTTTTACTTTGTCAGTCCAGATCTTGATTGGTCCTCCTTGCTTTTGACGCAGTCCATCATAAGACTTAAGAAGTAACGAGTAACGAAATATAATGTATATTAATTCCTATGGTGAACAGCGAAGAACATGTCATAATCAGCGAAGGCAACGATCTGTGGTGGTACTGTTAATGCAAGTGAAGGTGGATCATTTGAGATTTTATCTGCTTGATGGACCCGCATCTTAGAAATGAATGGTCAAAGACAGATGACTTCTTAATATCCTCCACTCTTAATATCCATGTCTTGCAACCATCTAGCAAGATCGGGCTAATCGAGCAGGTATGTCTGGATGCGGATTTTCGTCTTTATGGTGATTTCCCGACAGTTCCATAAAAATTTCGTCAATTGGAAAAACATTTATAGCTGTCGTTATCCAAGTTATAATTTCATCCTTTGTATGGCCATTTGGGATTGGAGTGGATCCAAGATATTTGAAGTGGGGCATTTCCTCAACCAATATCAATAAAAATAGATATTTTATCAGCATCTTGTATATAATACGAAAACACCTTTTGCATTGATTTGCATTGATTTTGAGTCCATTTCTCGCTGCAGCTCTTGACACATTGTTTAGCATTATTTGCACTTCATTATAACCCTCAGCAAAATGGGCTCTGGATTGATTTGCTCATCTCTTGAGTGCCGATAAGCGATGCCCATTATCCAGTCTGTCGCATAGTTGAATATTATAAGGGAAAGGGCGTATTCTTGACGGACATCAGTTTTTATTTCGAAAGGATCAATCAGTTCTCCATATACTTAGACTTGTGCCAGGGTATGCTGATACAATGCCTTTTTGAATCGAATGATTTTTTCTGGGACACCGTATTTTTCATCATTTTTCAGAGTGCTAATCTGTTAATTGAATCGAAGGCACCTGAAAACCGATAAAGATTGCTGGTATTTCAAGCGATGTTTTAGCACTCTTATTGTAAATATCTGGTTAGCCGTATCCCAGTATAAATCCAGCTTGGTTAGGACTCATTCTGTTATCTTGTGTTGCCATGAGTCTATTTAGAGAAGGAGGCGAAAATTTTTTCTGAGATGTCTAGTAGGCTGATTTCTCGGAAATTGTCGCAGTACGTCCTGTCATCCTTCTTAGGAATTGGAAGCAGAATTATTTTGCTCAAGTATTTGTATATCTTCTGGTAATATTTCTTTCTTGCATACAGGAAAGTACTTTGTTAAGGATGCGTATGAAGGACGATGGACAACCTTTGAAAAATTCAGCCTGAGACCATCTCCCATCTTTTGTTTCCTTTTCTGTTAACAGTTCGAACTTATGGTTTTAGAGCGAATCAACTATGTCTTGGACAACAGATGGCGCATCGTGGTTAAGTTTGGACTTAAGTAATTCCTTCCATCTTACAAAGCGATCCTATTATTCTTAAGGGGCAATCACTATCACTTATCATTTCACTGATCATTCTCTGAGTTATAGTTGCTTCATGAAGAAGATGGAATAGTTTCCTATTGTAGCCTATTCGAATTACAGTGCCCATTTTCAACGCCACATCGCTTCAAAGGTTTCCGTCCCGCCTTTCTGCCTTCATTGTAATTCTTCGAAGCATCCGATAGGGTCTCCTGACATTTAGGCTTTGGTAGCTTTTTCAGACATTTGGACAGTTGCTTCTAACACCCAACTACTTTTTAAGCTACTAGTGTACATTTCTTACTAGTATACCCTAGTATAGAAGTGTCTGATTTTTGTAAGCATTTCTTTAGTTGAGATCAGTATTTATACCAATATTTATTTCGCCTTTCCAGAGATGTTGATATTCATTTCATTGGCGTTTCAATAATACGGTTTGAAATGCACTTATTGTTCTCGGACCTTTTAAGTTGTGATAATTGAAAAATCTTGAGATACGTTTTTTCCAGCGACTTGTCAGTTTCTTATACGAATCTTGGCTCGAACCGTAACATGGTCTAATCCATGGTGGTTACCACTTTCGGTGCCCAAAATAAGAGGTATCAATTACAGAACACTTTCAGAGCTGACTGACCTATAGTCGGTATAGTCAATATAGTCAATCTGATTGGAGAGTTCCACGTGGCTAGAAAGTTTACTCCAATGTCGAAAGCATATATTAGTAATAAAGGGCTTATGCTCTTCTACAAAACGAAGAAGACATTCTCCATTGGCGCGCTGGACCTCGATGACCTACCCGCGTATTGCAGACTTCCAATTATGACCATGTCACATCAGTTCTCGGTAGAGATGTTGTTAATAGTTGAAGTTCCGCTTAGAACATGTCCTTATTCTTATCCTCATCATGGTCATCTGCGCCTAAAATTTAAGCAAATGTACTGAAGACCGAAATATTGCAAAACATTCTTTTGAAACGCTCGTAGGCCATATGGTCATTTACTGGCTTCCACTCAGTCAGATCAATCGTTACGTCATTTCGTCCCAAATTATCCGAAAAACCATAATGAAATGTCATTACCTCCTTAGGTTCTAATTGTTCGAGAAGTGAAGAAGATGGTTTCCAACAAGCAGACGACATCCACTCGGTATTTAGAAAAAATGTGGATAGCTTGACTTGCAATATCCATAAACGTTCTGATTTTTCTAAGCAGCTATTATCAGCACCTCGCCGCGCTTACAAAGTGGTTAGGTTATCGTCTCCCTTGAGTAATTATCTCGAGCATATTCTACATTTATATCATGGAATTATTCTATTATTATTATTAAGCCTGGAATGCGCCTAGGAATACGCGGACGGCACGTCAAAGGCACTTTCCCACCGTAGAGTCATTTGACGATAGAGATACAGGTAGATTCCCAGCAGGCACTCGGGTTTTTGATATTATGATAAGTTTACTCGTTTCAAAGATGAAAAAAGAAAGATAATTAAAAGAATAAAATTTTAAGAGAGAAAAAAAGAAAAAACTGTTACTGATATTTTCAGTAAGCAAAAAAGAAAAACAAAAATGAAGAGGGAAGGATAACCGCTTTTCAGAAATTGAGAAATAATTTAGCAGCAAATTAGGAATAATTTGTTGAAAACGACTGCTCGTGATAAAAAATTGAAAACACTCGAAACTTCAAATTTTTATTTTAATCTATTTATTAATTTTATTTTAATCTATTTGGTTATTGATATTCTTTTTTCGTGAAAAATAAGCTTTTTGCTTGATACTAAAGGATCTAAGGTATTATATAATTGTATGAATATTATTTTATTGCAAGGATGAAGCTTTTAAGAAAAATTTTTAATATTATGTTGCTGTTAAGATTTTAAAGGTGAATATGACATTGAGGTAAAATGAAAAATGCAGATAAAGTAAGGGAAAGGAAAGAGGAAAAATAAAGGAGGGCAAAACGAAAGAAAGAAAAGAAAGGGAAAAATGACTCAATTATATATCCAGGAAACCATATTATTTGCTGATTCATTAAATTGCCACTATTTTATAGGGAAAAATCAGTTAGGGAGCATTTGCGAGCAGTATATGGAACACTGGCTCTCGGTTTATTTACAGCTACGCTTGGTGCAATTCTCCATATTTTTACTAAATTTTTTGAAGGAAGTTTATTCATCTTCTTTCTGCCGATTCTCTTCATGACTATTTTATCACGAACTCCTCATTCACATGAAAATGAACGCAAGCGTTTGATGTATTTTCTTGGTTTCGCTTTATTTTCCGGTCATTTTTTTTTTTTTTTTAAATGTTTGTATTATTTTTTTGGTGTTCCTATTATTCTGAGACAAAATTTATATTTCCAGTTTATAATTTATATATCTGATTTAAAACTACTATAAATTATGAATTACTGCCAGAAACAGCGGGAAATATGTATTTAAACATTTGTTACTATAGTTGCTAATAATGAAAAAATATAATAATAATGTGGAAAAATTTGAAATGGTGATATTGATTATTCATACCATTATTTAATATGACGATAGTAAATAGCAGAGCGAAAATTCGAAAATTTTACAAAGAAAAATTGTGCATTTGATTTTCACATTTTTACATTCTTTTGAAAATGGATTGTAATGATGGATGTAGAAATTTTGGTTTGAAGGATTTAGCAGAATATTTTAACTTGTTATTTCGACTTCGTTTACTTTCAGGCATAAGTTCTGGTCCTCTGTTTCAACGAGCTATGGACGTCGATCGATCGATTATAATGACTGCATTTCTGTCATCATCAGTTATTTTTGGTTGCTTCACCTTGGCTGCTTTGCTTGCTCCATCAACCAAGTATCTGTATTTGGGAGGTTGGATTTCGATTTTTTTTTAATTTTGCTTTCCCATAAACATCGAAAAAATTTGTATTTAGAGATGTGGACTTCTTAAAAGCCTATCAAAGGCGTAGTATTCAATTTAATAGTTTACTTCCAAGGATTTTTTCATATTTAACTTTTTTATAATATTTAATTTTCATTTTCAATAGGTACGATTAGTTCGGCGCTTGTGGCATTGTTTGTAACTGCTATCTTTTTTCATTCTGAGTTTATGCATACAGTCTGCTTATGGGGTGGATTAGCCATCAGCTGTGCACTTGTGCTTTACGATACTCAACTGATTTGCGAGAAACGTCGGCGAGGTGATAATGATTATGTGTGGCATACCATTGAGCTATTCATCGATTTTCTCAACTTATTTGATTATATTGTTTCCATTCTTAAAGAAAAAAAGGTTTGGTACTTTTATTACTGTTATTTTGTGGTCATTTATCATTTTATTAAAACTTTCGAAATCTGGGAAAAATTTAATATTTATGAAAATTTTACTAAAGGAAAGTTTTTTTACTGGAATTGCTAATTATAAAGGTATCATTTCCGTATTTTAATATGATTCATAATTCTGCAAATGATTTATAAATCGCTAATAAGATGGCATTTTATTAGTTATTTTAATGAGAACTCGATCTTTGTCATCTGTTCTTTCGGTCCAAACTAAAGGAATATTTCCGAAAATCAGCCACTTCCACGCTAGGGCATATTAGTAGGGAGATGCTAGTTTGGTGTCGGAAGCAACTGTCCAACTGTCTGAAAAAGCTGCCAAAATACGAATGTCAGGTGATCCTGACTACCGGATGCTTCGAAGATTTGCAACGAAAGCAGCACGGCGGGACAGAAATCACTTTTTGAATGACATGGCCTCAAGAATGGAAGCGACGACTCGATTAGATGATAATAGGAAACTATTCCGCTTTCTTCATAAAGCAGCTATATTTCGAGGAACGATCAGTGAAATGGTAAGAGGCAGCAATGGTGTGCCAGTCAAGACTATTAAGGAATGTCTTGTAAGATGGAAAGAATTCTTTGAGTCCAAACTTAACCATAAAGCGCCATCTGTTGCCTCTGATATAATTGATACTTTCGCTGAAGCATATGCTTACAACTGCGATCCCTCGATCGAAGAAATAATATCCATCTTAAGGTCAATAAGATTCCAGGAGAAGATGGTCTTCGGACTGAACTCTTTAAATATTGTCCATCGTCCTTTATAACGCATCTTCAACAAATGCATTCTTTGGTATGGAAAAAATAAATATTATCAGATGATCGGAGCAAAGCAGTTCTGCTCCCAATTCTCAAAAAAGACGGTAGGACTTACTGCGACAATTACCGAAGAATCAGCCTACTAGACGTTTCAGCGAAAATTTTTGCTTCTCTTTTACTCAGCAAACTTATGGAAGTACTGGACAGACAGCAGGATGCGCCCTAATCAAGCTGGATTCAGACCGGGGCGCGAGTGTGCTGACCAGAAATTCATGTTAAGAAAGGTGTTGGAACATCACTTTTGATATTTGCAATCCACTGTTACGTGTTTCATCAGTTTTGCGGCTGATTTTGTTCAATTGATAGAAAGGCACTTTGGAGGATGATGGAATGCGACGATGTTCCAGGGAAAATCATTCGACTCATAAAGGCATTTTATGAGCGTAGGTCGACGCAAGTCTGTGTATATGGGGAATTGACAGACTCCTTCGAAATAAGAACTGGTGTCCGTCAAGGTTTCCCTTTCCCTTACAATATTCGGCTATGCGATAGAATGTGTAATGGAACTCAAGGGGTATCCAAATCAGTCCAGAGCATCGTATCACAGATCTTGAATAAGCTGATGATGTAGTCCTTTTTATTACGAAATGTAAGTAATGCTAAATAACGTGTCAGAAACTGCAGCAAGAATAGGCTCACGGTCAATGTACACAAAACGAAAGTCTTTTCGTCTTAAGTGCAAGAAGCTGATTATGCCTCTTTTCGTAAATTCATTGCCGGTCGAGAAAGTGCCCGATTTTAAATAGCTTGGATCCACTCTATTACCAAATGGCAGGCAAAAGACGATGTTATAGCCCGGTTGACGAAACTTTTATGGAGCCATCGTGAAATCACCATAAAAACGAAAGTCTGCATCTGTATAGCCGTGATTCGTTCGATCTTGCTATGTGGCTCTGAGACAATGTCAGTAAGAGTGGATGATATTAAAAAGCTATCTTTGACCACTCTTGTGTGAGGTACATTTTACGGGTCCGTCGAGCGGATAAAATATCACACGATCCACCTTCATTCAAATACCATTTGCATTAATAATGTTATCACAGAGTGTCGCCTTCGGTGGTTATGGCACGTTCTCCACATCAAGAGTTCACCACAAGAGTTGTCGCATATTTCGTTAACGTGTAATGGATGGTGTCAAAAGCGAGATGGGCCAATCAAGACCTGGACTGATACGGTCAGGAAAAATTTTGAACGTATAGATGGACAAATAATATATGAACTTAGAAATAATATATGAACGATGGAAAAAGGAATGGCTTCTATTACTTGGTATCAGATGATGTGGAGAATCAGATATTAGATGATGGTATCAAATCGCGCCACTTCTGGAAACGTCTTACCCTTGTAGCCGTTGGAGCCAGCCTAACCAGTAATGGTGAGAACTGTTAGAAGAAGATGAAGTTCTTTCGGTTGCTTTCATTTTCTTGTGGTTATTTTCTGGAGCTGTAAAAAGTTTATATGAGTGAGAATTTCGAAAATTTTTGTTTATCTATTCAAATATATGTTGATTAAAAAGATTCCATCTGTGTTATTAGTTTTAATTTATTTAATTCAATTATTTTGCAGGAAAGAAATAACAGAAAACGTAATTAATCGACGGCAATGAACATTTTTTTTAAACAATCCAATTTTTTTTACCAGCCCAACATTTATAAGTAGGTTTGGAAAAAATGCAGATAGGTCGCATCTTATATAACATTGATTTTAATATTTATGATAATTATGATAATTCTGCGAATATTTGAAGAAAATCGCTTATTTTTATTTTTTCTTTCTTTATTATGTTTTATCTTTAAAATTCCAGTATCACCATTTCTGAAATTTTTTGGTCATTATTTTTTCATTCTTTTTTATTTGATATTCCTTTTATTTTTTGAAGCTTTGTGAAAGAGATTCATATCGAACTAAAAAAATTTTTGTCGTTTTTTACTTTCTTTTTATTTTGTGAATTCAATAAATTTTTGTGACTTTGACTTGATTTTTTGCATTCAAGCCAAGTATCTCGTTTTTATGTTTTCACCATTAAATTCCAGCAAATTAATGTTAAGTTCTTATAGTCAAAATATGCTTGAACAGATTCATTATAATTATGCAAGAGTGTCCAAGCTATGTGTTTTTTGGAGCCGTGTTTTTTTACCCTCGCTGCCAATAATAAAAGCCACTCTTTTTTTCACCTCGGTTAATATGATGGTTAATATGATGGTCCCCCTGCATTTTCAAAATCTTTCCTGTCTATACCGGTCGAGGTTTTGATTGGCCTACCTCTCTTTTCGCCACCCATCATAGGGTTTAGCAAATAAGGAAGTACCAGTTCTTGTGATGGAATGGACAGTGAAGAAAGAAAGAAAGAATAATTGGCGGTACTATATGATGGTACTGCTAATGCAGATGGTATTTAAGCGAAGATCGGTGCGATTATGTGAAATTTTATTAGCTTGGCGGGCTCATAAAATGTATCCCAGACACGGTAATCAGTGAAGGATTACTTCTTAATCGTCCACTCTGTGGTCATATCTTCAGCCCTATAGCAAAATCGAGCGAATTGTATATCGTTTTTATATGTTTTCGCGAGGAGTCCCATAAAGGAATCTGAAGAAATTCGTTAATCGGAAGAACCCACTGATTTATCGTTTTATGAGCGGCTCTTCCAACTGCTCTAAAATATAAAAAAAAAGATTATTGATTGTTCTTCGTTTGGATACCACAAACGTTGAGTTTTTCAAATTTTTTTCAGAATTATTTTTCCCTTAAATTTAATTTTTGAATCCAATTTTTTAAATTTTCCGCTTTTCCTCGTCCTTGACAGGAGTGAACTTGTCATATCAAAAATCCGGGTGGCTGCTGAGGATCCATCTCTGACTCTATCCCTAAGTGACTCTATGGTGAAAGGGTCCGATGTTCTTGTTCTGTGATGAATTCAGTTGCTTTATAACATTGAAATAGCGAAGAGAGATTGCGAATGCTGCTCGTTTGAAAGAGCATTTTAAATTTTAAATTGTAGGTTTATGAACAGATGTTTCTTACAACTATCGTCGTAATTGATGTTATTCGGCGGTACACTTGGGTTGCGATACCAGCGTCATTTTTGTCGTTATCGATGGTTCCATTTGCTTCTTGTGCGCTTGTGATTGGCAGTATAAGTTGGGTTGTGCCCAGACGAGTGTACGTGAGCTTGGATAATGCTTTGTACACATCGTTTATGCGAATCTGCTCCTTCGTTTTTGAGAATGTCGCCAATGTATCGGTCAGTGACGCTTTTTTTCAAAATTAGAAATTAGAATGGCTCAATTCTATTGTTAAATGGTACAGTAATTTTAATTTTCTTAACCTATTCATCGACTCAGTTCTTTTTTACTTTTTTTGGTTTAAAAACATTTGGCTGGAGTGGCAAAAATAAATTTATTATCTCGCCGAGAATAATTTTTCTTTTAGATTTATATTGATGGCGATATCAGTGAAATAACAAGAAAGCAAGAAAGCGCAATTGTTTTTTCGAATCATCAATCCGATGGCTAGTTTTTGTTTTTGTTTTAAATAATTCCGTTCGATTTATTTTTTATGTAAAGGAATAATTATCAAGCCATGTTTGTCAAAAACAGTGCATAAAAATTATATTTAATAAGAAAAATAAGAAAAATAAGAAATAAGAAATATAAATAAGAAAAATTATAAAATTATAAAAATTTTATTTATAAATAATGAATAGGGAAAAGGAAACCCAAATTTGCCGAAGAATAAACGGCTTAATATTATTTTCATTATTTCTTTCTATAATATTTATTAATAATGTTAATAATAATATTTCTTGAATTCTTTCCTAAAAATGGATACTGATAAAGCAAATATTTCTATTATTATATCACTAGTTAATTTGTTCGACTAAATAATGGTGTGAAGAAAAAGGTACTTCATCCAGTTTGACTAAATTTTCTTTAGTTATTTTATTTCTTCTTCTTTTAGCTCGCTATTTCTGGCGATCCAAAATGTGATCTTTTTAAAGAGAAATGCTTTGTGACAAAAATTATGTCACCGGCAATATTGTCAAAAAGCATATTTGAGATTGCAAGGCATGCTCAAACGAGTTAAATGCTTAGTTTCCAAAATCCTTGAAGGAAATTAATAATAATTAATAACTAAAACTCTAATAATCATTTAAGGATTTCAGATAATTTGAGCGTGGAATGTTCAAAAAGTGGAGAAATTATGCACTGTTATCGGAGGGAGATTTGCATGAATGTCGAAAAATTAGATTTTTAGATTAGATTTTTTTAGATTAGATTAAATTAGATTTTTTGCCATGGTTTTCTTTTTTGGAATATTTCTCTAAGAAAAAATGCATAGCATCCTCCATTTTTGAACTTTCTACATTTGATGAGAAGTCCGAGCCTAGTAAGCTGCTGCCAGTGGCAGAAAGCAGAATTTTAAGAATTGTTTTAAGTTTGATAAAGCTCAGGAGAACGCCAGGAAAATTTGACTGGTCAAGGACAGAGATCTAAACCTTATTAAAGAAAGTTTGGTGCCATGAGCTGAGTTAGACTCAAAAAGTTTTGTTAGTTTTGTTAACCTTCTGAGATTGTTTATAAAAGCATTAAAAATATCTCAATTGCTCAAAAAAATCGCGGATCACTAATGTCCTACCTCTAAAATAAACCACAGAAGCGAAATAATTATACCAAATGAGATTCTAACTAAACTTCTGTTATTGTTTGAGAATATATGAAAGTTCATCCAACTTTCGATAAATTTATCAAAATTAAAAAAGTGCATTTTTTTCCACTGTGAAATACTAAATTTTCCACCGAAAATACACAAAATTTAGGTTTTGCACCTCTTTTCACTTTTCTTATTGAACTTTAATTTTTCGACTTTTTAAAGTTGATTGGGCCGTGATTAATATGCTAGCGAGTCGACAAAAATGTGGCGAAAAAATACTAAGGTTTATGGTGAAATACGCAATCCATTATGTACCTTTGTTTGGTTGGTATATATTTCAGGTTATAAATTATTTTCGCTTGTTCCATTATTAACTTTTTTTAAAAGTTTAAATGGTGTTGACAAATGGAATAATGGGAATTTGTCAATTTGCCCAAATAGGTGAAATTAATAAAATGAAGTTTTCTTATGAAAATTTAGTGTGATGTGTGATGATTTAGTGTATGTAATTTAGTGTGAAAATTTAGTGTTAATTTAGTATGCGAAAAATTTTCAATTTCTCAAAATTTTTAGTTTTAATTATTTTTGTATTCATTAGTTGTTTGATTTTAGCATGGTTATGTCTTTGTTAGACGCTTTGGCAATTTTGTTCTTAGCCCGGTGGAAAAACAATTATCATATTTGGCTGAGTTGAATGAGCCGTTTTGGTTATTGATATTTCCAGAAGGAACGCGATATTCGCTTGCAAAACATTCAATAATTATTAAAACCAGGGAACAGTGTATTCATAAAAATATTGAGGTTATTTCTTTTGATTTTCTTCTGTTTTAATATTCGTTTTATTTGGCTATTCAACTATGATGAAGCGATTAGCGGATTTTAATGCGAATTCAAAGGCAGAAAATTTTGAAAAATTGCTTTTCATAGTTCCCTATTTTATTTATTCCTATTTTGTAACCTTTTTTAGCCGTTTAAATCATTGTTCTTCCCATATACGAACGGTTTTTGCATGGCGCTTTCTAAACTTCGTAATTCAGTTGACGCTGTTTATGATATTACGATAGCTTATGAACGAAGCAGGTTACGCCTTATATTTAATTAATAGGCTATCAAATAAGCAATTCAAGAATTTCAATTAAAATACCAGGAAAACTGCTCAGTCAGTTATATAATTCACCTTCGTTTTCTACAATTTTTTTCCATCTAAAAACTAGTTGATGAATTCCTTTTTTGTAAAAGCTTCCTTAGATTGGATTTCCTGTATCCTTAGATTTGAAACATTTAATGAAGTTTTTTTTTCCATTAGATATTATTACAAACGTCTGAACAAATCGAAATCATAAAGGGCAATGGCATATAGGATTATTAAATGGATGAAGTAGAATTTCCCAGCCAAACACCTTTTCTTGAAGACCACATGCTCTTAAATTATAGGATTGTACTTTCCTTTCTAGCTGTTGTGAAAGTTTGTTCTTGAAGACCACTGAGTTGAAAAAAATCAAAGGTAACAATTTGACCATGTTTCAGCAATTTATAATGAATTGTGACTCTTTTCTCAATCATGCATATAAGAACACTTTTTTGCTATGAATATTGGGTTTATAAATTATTGCTGATAACAAATGGTCATTTAGGATTATCTTCACTTGTTTTTCACTGTCGTTGACAATTCGTTCCAGATACGATATCTTGAGATGCGCAAAGCACTTATTGAGGGTCATTAAAGTATTTGATCTTCGATGAGTTTATATGGAATGAAAGCACCGATTTTACTGCTTTCCCCTTAGCATGCAAACAATCGAATATTGTTTAGCAGGTTTAACCTCTTTTCTCAGCAATTTCATTCAGCTATTTTGGTTGTAGGCATGAAGTCTTCAAGTCTTAGAAGATCTTTGGACGTTCTGCATTCACCAATTTCGAAAATCACTTCCTCATATTCATTGTTTTTGAATGCACTTCATTTATGGGTGCATTTCACTGTTGTTGCCGTTGTTGTATTATTTCCTTTAGAAAATTCATAAAACTTGCAGTTTCTCAAATATTATTCAGATTCATTATACTATTACTGAACTCGTGATGAAATTTCATGAGCCTCGGATAAATGAAGTACATATTATCTAACTTTCTTTTACGGCAAGAAAAATTTTTAATTAAAAATTCAAAAAAGGCGAAATTATTTATTTGTTAATTGGTAATTATTGGTTATTTGGGGAAAGATCGCTGTACTGAATCGCTCTAATTCTAAATTTAAGAAAATTTAAGAGTGATTTTAAATTGATTTATTGATTTAATCACAGAAATTTTATTTGCATAAGTTATCTTAAAATTCTAGATGGTCGATTTGTTTTAAAAATATTTAAATAGAAATGGGAAGGACTAAATTAAAATGGCGAGAAAAAGTTTTAGCAGCTATACTTATAGGCTTAAAATTGATAAATCTAGGAATTCACCATCAGTGCAAAAATCGATAGTTGGTTCTCCACTTTATCTGGAAACCACTCTTGTCTCCTTATTGGCCAACTGTCTTATTTGTTCATTAGATTGGATTTTATAGTTATTCTATTTAAACGTTGAGTTCACTTTTTTACAGAATGAAATCGACCATAATTCAAAGTGTAAAGACAAATGAGTAAAGGCATCTTCTGAGAATTTCACGTGATATTTCCTCAATTATTTCTTTGTATTTATGTTTAAACCATTATTTCTGTAATGTGTAAACGCAGAAGGGAAAAATTGTTTTATAACTAAATTTTAGGCATAATATGAAAAGAATTGCGCCAAATATGTTTGAATTCGTCTCCAATCCGAAATCTTCGCTTTACATTCATGTAAGGCGATTTCCCATTGAAGAAATATCATCTGATGAAACAGTATTGAAGAAGTGGCTCATTCATCGATTTGTTGAGAAGGAGAAGTATGTTTTCTATTGTTCTCGATTATGATACTACTAATTATAATATATTCATTAATATCGGCAATGAAAAAAAAAACTTTTTCCATATAGAAATATTTGTTTAACGAGTTACCTTTTCATATATTTTTCAGAGTTTTGAATGCTTTTTATGAATATAAAATTGAAATGAATGCAATGGAGGAAAGAGCCGTTCTACCTCTTTCACGGACTTTCGCACCTGTTTCCATTTATCTTACACTACTAATTGCTCCAGTTTTTAGTAAAACTTTTCGTCGTATTTATTTTTTTACGATATTATCATCACCTTTGCTTATTTTATGGCTGAAGATTCGCAGTTGTGTTTAATTTGTATTTACTTTTATTTATTTAATTTTTATAAGACAGATTTTTCAAATTTTATTACATTTATGCAAAACTAGCCAACTTTCTGATTTTTAAGCGTTTGTTGATTTTGATGTTATTTTCTCTTATTGGTAATTCTTTCATTTAGTTTATTTGTTCATCATTTTGCATTCACATTCACGTTTAACCGTTTAACTACCTTATTCGAATGGGATCTTCGTATAAGTCTTGGCGTCTTTTTTTCAAAAAATATGAATTTATATGAAATAATAAATTTACAATTTCAAATTGTTTCAATCGAGAGAATGATAAACTTTCAAAAAAAAATTTTAATTGGATTCTAACAAATAATTTAATATTTTAATATCTATTCGCTCATGATAATAAGTTTATCGGTGTTATTTTTTATTATATATAATATATAATAAATAGCCTCGTTGAATAACTTTGCTTACTCAGCTGCATTTTATGTTCATTTTGAAAATATTAGGCCATTGCTGAATTTCGCTTTTTTCATTTTCTCGTGCATTGAATGTTATATAGTTGTTTTAATTTATGTTTGTTCATTTATTCGATTTAACTTGAAAAATTTCGTAAATATTAGAAAAAATAACAAATAATAATGAATTTCAGGATGAAGTATGGAGAAACACAAAGATTTTCTTTTCGTTACGAAAGGTTTTATCGAGGAATTATTGGAGAAATCTTATGGAATACAGTCAGAACATTTTGCTGAAAATTCGTCGTTATTTTCAGATGAAAATGGTAATAAAATTAAAGAACTTGAAAATAATTTGGAAGGAATAAAACGAGATTGTATTATTAGCGGAGAAAATTCTGACGTATATGATATGATATATTCGACGGTCATCGAGGTTCATTCCTGCAATTATTTTTCATATAACTTTGTTGTATTACGAAATTGAGGTGCAGTAAAATGCTAGTAACGGTGAACTAAGAAAGTGCAGAAAAACAAATCCTTCTTCCTGTAAGGACAGAAGAAGGACATATAGAAAAAATATAAATCTATGGCTTGCAGCTTAAGCTCTACATTATATTATTCCATAATAGTAAAGAAGTAAAAAAAACCTTGCAAACTTTATATTTCCATAGTCTGACGCTGAGCGAGAATGACGAGGTTTGAATATCTAATAAATGCGGTTTAACAGGAGAGTTCTTTCTTTTTCATACTTTGCAGTTATTTTTTTTTTAGTTACAGAGAAACAAATATACATACATATATACATACATGCACACATGCATCCATACTTATATTTACGTAAAGATTTGACCAATGATTATGAAACTTGAAAATTCTATTGAACGAGCAAAAAAAGTGAAAAAGAACATATTTAGATGTGAACATAGAAAATGAATATTATTACATAGCGGTAATGCTTATATAGGAAGACTAGCCTTAGACGTAAGTCCATTTTAGGTGTGAAGAGAAAAGCAATAAAATTGGCTTGAATTTGTGGATTTCTCGACACAGTTGGCAAACGATATACAAAAAGCCATGCAGGTGTGAGAGAATCGGCGCTTAAACGACTGGCGGAGTCAAAAGGGGAAATGTAAAAAGAGATGTTAAGCTTAATGGGTTTTGCGAGTTCACATTTTACAGTTTTTATCGAACAAAATTTGCATTTTTGTACGGATTCTTCCCTTAGTTAATAAACTAATAAGATTTTAGGAATATGAAAATATTCGTAGTCGTAACGTTACTCCTTATCAAAATGAGCGTATAACCGTTTATCACTGTAAAATCACCTCATCTGTATCAGAAGCAAATTCGACAACTATGTTCCCTCAAACGAAATGTATAGTAATGTGTTTATTTTTTATTATTTTTTTCGTTCTATTTTTTATTTTAATAAGCGAGGAATATATAATTCCGCGTATCGCAATGTCTGTTCATTATTATCAGCCACCACCGTTCTAAACAATAATCAACTAATCGAAAGCAAACGCTTCCAAAATCGACAAATTTATTCAAGGCCGAAAGGAATAATCAGGGGAAGAACCAAAATTTATTCATTTTCGAAATTATTTGAAATACTTCATAACCATTTAAAAATTCTATTGGTCTTATTTCTATTCATTTTAAATAAATGGCAACATTAACAATGAATTTCTCGCTACTAGTCTTGAAATTTTTTTTCTTAGCATTATCTGGAATTTCTACAAAAATTAAAAATTAAAGTAGGTAGTCCTAATGATCCATCCATATTTCTAGTGTCAAGTGACTTGGCAAAAATTTCTAATCCTATTAAGAGAGATTCTGTTGAACTTGCCTAACCAGAAACAAAAGGTGCTAATCACATATTTATTTATAAATTGAAATAAAATTATCTTTTAATTAAATTGTCCTAAATATAATTAATTAATTAATTTCATCTAGGAATTTAAAAAACCACATTTGCTATTAATTTTATTAATCGTTTTAATAAATAAATTATCCAAAATGACTTGATTGATTAAAATGATTGCTAATGGAAAAATTTTATTGGCAGTATTATGTCGGTAAACCAAGTGGCTGCACAGTATATATACAATATATTTTATAACTGAATGTATTATATATCAAACTGACATTGATAGCAAACAGGACATGAACAGGATAAAAATAGTTCGGACAATCCCACTGCCTACTCCTACCCGGAATCATTACCATTTTTATTTCAGAGATTAATGAAATAAATATACGTAATTATAGTAATATGCAAATATGTTGCTATTCCCTGGTAGATACAATAATAAAAGTCTTATAAGCTAGATATATGATTTTATTGTACGATATAATAGGGGATATTAAATATCTGGGTAAGTTTCGAATGAGTAAGGAAGCACGTTTTTGCGGTAAATTCGATCAAAATATAAAGATTGTTCTCAAAAATAAATAAATACACTGCAATGCTTTAAAAAAAATAATCCAAAAATTAATGGTATTATTTAGGTAGAAGCTGTTTTATTTATTGATTGTTCTCGAGCACGTATAACAGCACCAAGAGATTCTATTCTCTGCAGAATTTTCTCATTCACAATAGCGTTAAAATCCTACAAATATAAAATTTTGAATGAAAAAGACAGTATGGACATAATCATATACGAAATAAAAAATTAGAAATTAGACAAAAACAATTTTTAACGAAGACTTTTAACAACCTATTTAAATAATTTGAAAAAACTTGCAGAACGATCTTGAGCAATGATTTTGGGACAATAGCGAAAATAATAGTCTCTCCATGGCTTTATACGTGCCATTTTTGTGTTCGGCCTCAACACGTCAATATGACGTGGATAATGATTATAGAATGGATTAAGGAAAGACCTTTTATTCGCATCCACATAAGACCAAAGCGATATCGTACACTGCTTAAGATGCTGAAGAAAAATAATGCCAATTTAAAATAAATTTATATGAAACAATTTTTAAACTAGATAATTTTAAAAAAATTCAAATGAAGATAGAGATATGGAAGAACGATAAAAAAAAATATAAAATACTTTCTTTGAAGGAATAGAAAATTTTTGACTCAATTTTAATTGATTTATTAATTTGATTAAATAACTGATTGGCCATATGTTGATTTGTTAAAATTAAAGAACAGGCGAACCTGTTCACGAAATCGTTGTTTTTCATTATTGCATAAAAACGTCCCAAATCGGCAAGAATAAAGTTCATCGAGGATAGTAATTAACAATGACGAATTGAATTCAAAAGCGAATGGAAACTGAAGTTGAGCAACAATATTTACTGCTCATTTCAACCAGACATTGTTTTTTATTAATTTCTCATTCCTCCATAATGAGGAATTGAACCTTTGAAATTGATTATATTTGATTTGATCAGTATAAGCAAAATGAGCTTTTAATAAATTAATATGAAGAAAAAAAATGACCAAAGTTAACGCTCAAAAATGAAAAGTAAAACATGAACCTGATCTTGGATTTGCCATACGCAGTCGATAAACTGAACAAAAATTGGCGATCTCTCGCTATCACTGTACTTATCGTCACCATGACCCACTCGCTTAAAAACAAAATACACCTTAATCTAATGGGTTTAAGAATATAATAATTTGGACCATGAAGGAATAAAAATAACTTGTAAGGAAGAAAATCGGACTATTACAATAAAATAACAGAATTTAACACCATATATATTCAAATTGAAACCAAAATTCTGGCGCCAAAACTTACAAATAATTAAAAATTCTTACATGGGCAAACTTATGACCAAAGGCGCACCATTCTTTTTCTATCAAAACTCCAAACCCACTAATTGTTCGATAATAAGGATCAAGTTCGATCATCGCCAAAGACGTTAACTTAAAAGCAAAATTGACAATGCAATAGATGGAATAGTGTCAGTAATGAATGAAAAATTCAGCTCTAAAACTAAAATACTGAAAGGTAAATGTGGAAGCAAAATCAGTAACAAAATCAAAATCCAGTGGCTTCATTTTTTAAACTTTATACTTATAGAATTTTAATACAATTGGAAAAATAATATGACCAATTAAATAACTCTCTTCAATAAAAAAAAGCTTTTTCGATGGAAAATAGAAACCTGAGATGTACGATCCCAACCATCACTGCAGTGAACTAACACGGAAGCACTATTATCCTCTACTTCAGCTGCAATCTGAGTTGCACCTTCTAAAATCATCTAAAATAACACATATAAATAAGAACAAATACTAGCGACAATTAATTTTCAACCATTTTTGAAATTTCTAATTAAATTATTTTCAATATTTTGAAATTAAATTATTTTCAATACAGTTTTTCTAATTGCACTCATCATTTAGTAATAATAATCATTAAATAAATAATATAACCTGTATATGGCTAAGCCATTTTGTTTCGTCTAAGTTTTTTAGCCAGTTTTTTTCATCGAGACGAACAAAAGAACAATCTTTCAGCTTCCGCATCCTGATTTTTTTTATCATATAAACCATACTATTATTATTGAAAATTGAAAGCACTTATGTAAACAAAGTGTATATTTAATTTTTCTTATTCTTTTTTGATTACAATGAAAAAAATTGAATATCAAAGCAGAAAAACATACGATTCTCTGACAACATGTATGTTTTGAATATCAAGAAATATTAAGCGACAATTGCTGTAAGAATCTTCAAAACCGCCACCTTTTGCCTATAATAAATACCTACAAACTATGTATACAATAAAAAAAATATTTACAAAAAATCAAATAATTAGTAATGAAAGACCGATCAAAAATTAAAAAATAGTAAAAAAGGACAAGAATAACATTTCGAAATTTAGATTCATAGGAACTTGCATAAAAACTCCATTTGATTTGATAATATACCTTTCAAGTACCACATTTGATTTGATAATAGTCTTAACGGACAAATGAAAAGAGACAAATGAAAACTACAGTATAAATTTATGAAACTTCCTTTCTCATTTTATTATAATTATTATAATTATCAATTTCCAAAAAAAAACCAGTGGCTAAATTAAACAATCAAGAAATCTTTCACAAGTATCATTCATTCCCCATATTTTTCATATAAGGTTAAAAAATTTATAAAATTTAAAAATTGGAAATTTTACCTTGTTTACCTTTGCATTAACGACAGGTCTCGCGTCAAAAATTAATAATTGATGAGCATGAGCGTTCGCTTCGATTATCATCTGTAAATACCTGAAAGTACTAGCTATTAATTCTACCATTCGAGGTTATCAATGAATAAAACAATGTTATTAATTTATTTACCAGGAGAAAATAAAGGAATTAACAAAATTACTTTTCATCTTCAACAGATTTTCTAGATGTTACTCCGACCATTGGTTGTGATGAACGTGTAATCGCCGCTTGAGTTAGTGGATTTAGCCATGACAATACCTTTATATAAAGAAAATATTGCAAGAGAAAATATTGCTATCGATCAAAAGATCAAAATTTGTTCAACCTCGAAATAATGAACAAAAGATTGCCTAATATTTTAAGAGATTACTAGAAGATAAAAAATATTAAATTGAATATCAAATATTAAGTATAAAAAGTAATGATAATGAAATATTTGAAGGCAAAATTTGGAAAAATTGGGATTTAATTAAGTAAATTATTTAAAATCATTAAAAAAATATGTAAAATTAAACATCCAAATAATTTGGGTTATTCTCGCTGAATGAAAAAAAATAACCAACAGGAATGCGCTGTTTACTTCGAAATTCGGCCACTTTATGAAGAAATTCTTCTCCCTCAGCAATGGCTGCAGCTGGAATCGCCAATAAAGCTGGATAAGTATCAGCAAATTCATAACGATCGTTGATTCTCGAGATACGCCATGATTCGTTTGGAATATTCAAGCGATGAAATTCTTTTAACGGATCATAAACTGTCCAACCATCAAATGTCCATTCAGGCTTATACGAAAGTGCGAAGAAATTCATTTTATTAGAAGCAGGAAAAGCAAATCTCTGAAGATTTTCGTACAGAGGTCGACGACTATGATTTGTTTGTTGATGTGTAAAACGAATATTACGCATATCTTTGCATGTTATTTCCAAACCATATGAATCCTCACCGCGACTCACAGTTGAATAACCAACTTTTTCAACACGAGATATACATCCTAGTGGCACATCAAACTGACAACACTGAATATACGAATATGTTATTGAAAAATCATAAGAAAATATAATAAAAAATTAAAAACACAAGTGTCATAACATATAATATATAACATAATTACAAGTCATATTTTTCTTTCGCTATGTTGGCTTAACATTTAGCAAAATTTACAGGATCCACACTCAATTAAAAGAAATATATAAATAATTCAGAAATTTAATAATGCATAAAATCATTTTTATAACCGAAAAAATTATTAATATTAATATAAAATATTAATATTAATATACTGTACAAACAGTTGATAAAAATTTTTTTTAATATTATTATTACTATTATTATTGTTATTAACTGCGATTACTGGTTGTTATCATTTATTATTACTCGTTTTTGTTATTATTAATTATTATTATTAATACTAGATACTATTATTCATTATTTCTGTTTATTTACTACTCCTCTTCTTCTTCTTCTAACACCATTAGTGGTTAGGCTGGCCACAAGGGTAAGACCTTTTAGAAGTCATTCCTTTTTCCATCGTCTAAGTCCATATACTGCTGATTCACCTACACTTTCAACAAAACTTTCCTGAATGCGTCAGTCCAGACCTTGATTAGCCCATCTCGCTTTTGATGCCATCCAACCCACGGTTTAGCAAATAACGAAATATGCGACAACTCTTGTGGTGGACGATGAAGAACGTGCCCTAACCACCGAAGGCGACACTCTGTGATGACATTATTGATGCAAGTGGTATTTGAACGAAGGTAGACCCGATCATGTTAGATGTTAGGACCGCTCGAAGAACCCATAAAATGTGCCTTAGACATGAGTGGTCAAAGGCAAATAACCTCTTCATATCCTCCACTCTCATTGACCAAATCTTGCAGCCATATAGCAAGATTGAACCAATCGCGGCTATATAGGATTTTAGTTTTTAGCTGATCTCACGAAGGTTCCATAAAAGTTTCGTCAACCGGAAGAACGTTTCTATCTGCCGTTGTTTAATTTTATTTTTTGTCTGGCCATTTAAAATCAGGCATTTGCATTTCCTCAATCAGCAATGAGTTAATAAAAAAATTCATTTTACATATATTATTACATATATTATTACATGATAATACATTACATATATTATTGTTGCATCATTGTTATTATTATTTATTATTTTCTACATTAATATTTATTACATATATCATTATTTATTATTTGTTACTTATTATTATTTTATTGTTTTTATTTCACTATTATCATTAAATATTATCATTAAATATTATCAATGTTATGTTGTTATACCATCAATTACTACATTATTATATCATTATTAAACACTTTTAATAATTATAGTAAATAATTGTCAACCAATCATCATTTTCTATTATAATCAATAATAATATTCTTATTTGTTATTATTCATCATTATTATCACTATCATTATTATTTAAAATTATTATCAACAAAACAGAAAAAAAGCCAATAAACCACAAAAAAGAGTGGGAGAGCAAAGAATAGGGAGCCTTCATGCTTGACCTAATAATAATTTTACGATCTCGGTCGTTATTATCTTGGTCGTTTCTCTTATTATTATAACCTATACATCTTATAAATTTGTAAATCCTTCCTACATACTTAAAATTTAACAATTTATTATTATTTAATAATATCAACCAAACAGCCATTAGCCACGAAAAAAAGTGCAAAGATTTAAATTATTAAATTTATTATTAATTAATTATTACATTGATCTATCTGATTAATCCTTTAATAATATGTTGATTAGAAACGAAAATAAAGTTATTGCAAACAATAAAATTTAACTTTATTTTGCCTTATTGGTGAATCTTTTGCTTCAAATCTTAAGCGATAATTTGTAACAATTACTCGACCATAAATTTTTCCAATCGGTGAAATATAACCAATATTCGCTTCTAAAAATAATTTTTCCTATAACTTTTAGTTATTCTATTTATCTATTTAAAAAAACAAGGTATATATGGCATAAAACCATTTGCATGCTTACAGAATGTGAAACATTCTGAAAACAAATAGGCTCAATGCTCCACATATCGATCTATAAAAGTCTGGCTCTATACAAAATCAATAGGATCCTAAAGTTATTCATGGAGAAACTCCATAAGACTGTGGAAAATAACTCTTGAAATGAACTCGAAACAGCTTGCAAAAGTAGCCATCAAGTGCAGCATATATCAAGACGATACACTGTTTCTTTTCTATGGTTCTACACAGGTCTAAACTCCCTTAGTCAAATAATTAGAAGCGAAAATGGACACAAATTCAAGAGCGAAATTACCATCATTCATCTTCTCTACATGGATGATAACAAGTTATAAGCAGAAAATGAACGAGATATTGACTTACTCACACATCAAACAGATCTACAGCGAGGACATTGGAATATCATTCGGATTAGAGAAATGTGCCCGATGATATTAAAGAGAGGAAAAACAGTAATAAGTGTTGGGATGGACCTGCCATCAGGAATATAACATACAGGCTAGTTATAAGTATAGTACCCCATAGTTACAAAATGAGGAGGCAAAGAAAACTGTAAGATCTAAATATCACCAAAGGCGAAGAAAATTTGTGAAAAGCCAGCTCAATGGGAAGAACAAAATCTATGCCATATACGCCCTTCCAGTCATTAGAAAGGCACCTGCATAGTAAGATGGACAAACGAAGACATGGAGGCGCTGAAGAATATTTTTCTTTTCACAATAAACGGAAATTTCTAACACCCAAGCACAATCCACCAGTCGGAAAGAAAGCCTGGGGCTTGGTGAATGTGAAAGTACTGTCTTGAATGAAATCTGAAGCATTCAGAAATCAGAAATACATCAGCAAGAAGGCACCAAAGGATAAGCTGCTGAGATAATATCTGAAGCATTTACAGATAGTGGAGAAAATCAAGCAAAGGAAGTGCAACTCTTCATGAGTTGCACCATGGACAGATAATTGAGGTAGCTGACACAGAGAAACCCTAGCAGTGGGTGGAAAAAACTGGGTTGGAAGGCAATACGAAAGCATTGATCATACCAGTACAAGAGAAGACCCTAAGCACCAGATCCATTGAAGCCAGAATCTCCTACACAATACAGGATTCTAGATGTAGAGTGTGCCCCAGAAACAGTCCAACACATAATGGCACGATATAAATTCAAGCAGAAACAACATCCACTAAAAGACATAATCATGGTAGCTAGTATCATCTATAGGAATGTTTGCTCGGTATATAATTTAGACTTTCCCAAGATTAAATGAGAGATTCCTCAAAAAATAATAGAGAAATAACAAGGCGAAGATCCTATGATACCTCT